TGTATTGGAATGAAATAACAATTGGATAAATAATTCAACTTATCCAATCCTCAATCCCTCCTAATGTATATAGGTTTTCTCTATAACTTCGTGTGTTTTAAAAAGTTTCAAAACGTAAAAAAAATTTTAATGTTTGAAAAAGTAAAAAATATCAAAAAAAAAATAAAAAAAGTAGTAAAATGAAAAAAAAAAATTTTCATGTATTCCCTAAATTTTGTATATAAAAATAACAAAAAAAATCCCAAGTAGCTCAGAAATTAAGGAGGCTGATATATGAGTGGAAATATGAAGGTCCACTGAAGCCCCAAAACCTACTGAGACCATAAGACATTATAGTGTAAAATTACATGCCAGTGAATACTGATTGGTGTGAGACTTAAAGTACTCACAGGCAGAGCTCATGGAGTAGCCTATTAGCTTCGTTTTGATTCTTTTGCTGAACAAAAATAATTCTTGTTTTTATTTTATTGAATTACTTCATTATTAAACTATATTGAATCAAAGGGTTTCCGATATTAACCAATGTCATATTATGTTTATATTTCTCTCAGATCTCAAACTGGGGTCTGCGAGGGATAATTGGGTAGGGTGGGTGTGTCTGAACAGCTGTTAGTTTTGGCGTTATAGACTAACGTTGTTCTTGGCGCTGTTGTGTCATTTAGTTCTTTGAATTTCACTTACTTATTGGACACGAAAGGGCCTTATGGATATCTTAGTATTTTTCTTATTCTTGTAGGGAAAAAATAGCCTTTAACTACAGGATCAATTGCTAAAAAATTTTCTACGACTAAAGATTGTTCAAAAATTTATGTGGTCTCTATGAAATTCGTATTTATCTTTTCTGTGTGATGACGTCATTAAAATAAAATATTTGCATCATGTCTTTGTTCCATGACCGCATTTCAGCGATCACACTAAGGTTAATAGGCATCATTTAGTTGCAATAAATCAGTAACACAATTTGTGTTGCAATTTGAGGAGTGGCAGCTGATGCGAATGTTTTCCAAATAGCTATATGCTATGTTCTGTATTGTGTTTTAGGTTTGAAATTATGGGGGTCCGCAATTGCCCCAGAGGTATAAGGGGTCCGTAGGCATAGTAACTTTGAGAACAACTTTCTTAGATGGATAATTTTATGAAGCTAAATTTGCAGTTTATGTGCAATGTCTCAAACCTGATGCTACAGCTCATTATTGAAAGCAATTTAGTCGAGATACAGACTAGTCGAGTCGTTATTGTTTCTAATTTTTGTCTTTTGATTGGGATTTTTGAATATGACATTGTGGATAAAACACCCATTATAAGTGGTTATTTTCATACAAATCTGCTTTTCAAATCAGTCTCATTGTTTGTACTGTATAGAGCAGGGTGGTCCAAGGTTGCCGGCTCCGGGAGCCACAAAATTATTTTTGCATTGTTCGCGGGCCACAATAATGCCAAGAATATAGGTAAACAGTGCAATACAAATAAACATTTTATTGTGCAAACACATTGATCACTATTTGGCATTTATCAAGCTAAAACATGTAAAAACTTACTAAAACTGCAAAGGCCTTCTTCAGCTTTCTTTTCAAACTCATGTTTACGAAATAACTTATAAATAACTGCCGATTCATTGATTACCGAATGTAAGCTAACAGGAGGGTAAATACTGAATTTTCTGACGAATAGGCAGCGTTTTTTCTAATACTGTTTAGGGTGGTTGCAAAAAACACACGGCATGAATTATATTGTTGGGCCATAACGATGATATTTAGTTATTAGGCATAGCCAACCTAGGCTAATAAAATTGGCAATCTATTTTTAGTTTTCTATAATGCCAAAATTGTTAGCATATATTTCTGACCGAGAAGATTGAAAAAAATGTAGACTGCCAAGCACATCATTCAACTTCGCTAGTTGCTTCAGCCGATTATAACACTAATCAGTTCAGAGACATTAGTGATGTAACAATATGTCCAAAAAATTTTCTGGGTAATTTTATATGAAAACAACACCAAATGCGATTCTTTGACTACTTTCCGAATGTGACGCGGGCCACAGATTATGAAGCTGCGGGCCACATGTGGCCCGTGGGTCTAGGTTTGGACCACCCTGGTATAGAGTGAATAGTACCGGTAAATGATGATGAAAATTCATTTTTGAAATTCTCAGTGATTCCTGTATTTAAATGTCTAACTTTTGCTTGATATGTTATTTTAATTATTGTAAAAGTGAAATATTTCAATAAAGAGCTCATAACTCTATGATACAAAATGAAATGACCAACTTAACACTTTCGCCTGCATAATCAAACAGGTCTTCAGTCAAAAACGTTTATGAATTGAATTTACTTTTAATTCTGCGTTATTCCGAAGCTTTGGATCCTTGGAAACTCATGGAAAGATCGGTCAGGTTGTTTCTCAGACGTTACAGAGCACCCGCATTCGACACAGTACCACATTCAATTATTCCATCGTCTTATAGCTGTAATAGGCCTATGCTGATTATTGAGTCGAAATAAACTTATACTAGTTCTGTAGTAGCCAGTCTTTGAAAGAAAGTAAACAGAAGGAACCCGATACCCGAATCTACGTTCGTGCATGGACTGTTATGAAACATTCAATCTATTTACAGAGTTTGTTTTTTCAGTAACAATTTTTTGTCACTGTTTTTTGCAATGAAATTGAACACAGTACCACATTCAATTATTCCATCGTCTTATAGCTGTAATAGGCCTATGCTGATTATTGAGTCGAAATAAACTTATACTAGTTCTGTAGTAGCCAGTCTTTGAAAGAAAGTAAACAGAAGAACCCGATACCCCAATCTACGTTCGTGGATGGACTGTTATGAAACATTCAATCTATTTACAGAGTCTATTTTGTTTTTTTCAGTAACAATTTTTTGTCACTGTTTTTTGCAATGAAATTGAACACAGTACCACATTCAATTATTCCATCGTCTTATAGCTGTAATAGGCCTATGCTGATTATTGAGTCGAAATAAACTTATACTAGTCCTGTAGTAGCCAGTCTTTGAAAGAAAGTAAACAGAAGAACATGATACTCCAATCTACGTTCGTGCATGGACTGTTATGAAACATTCAATCTATTTACAGTCTATTTTGTTTTTTTCAGTAACCATTTTTTGTCACTGTTTTTTGCAATGAAATTGAACCACAGCATCACCATAATACGTCAACGAGTGTTTTTTATTCCATATTTTTGCAGGAAAAGCACCGTTATGATACAAATACACGTCTCACATTTTAAAATTCATTTGAAAGGCTTGGCGGTGTGGCGCGTCGTGCTAAGCGTTAGGAATACGCTCGCCACCTCATTTCCGATTACTCTTCGTAGGTTCGCATCGCATGCAGGGATAATCATGTGCGAGAGGATTGCTGGACTCCTCGCCACCGTAGGGTGGTTCACGTAACCGCTGGTCGGTTACAGCTTCCTCCACCATCAAGTCCATGCTTCCGAAAACAAATAACTAACTAATCCCATACCAACCTGGACGAAAGGCCGTGGTTCGCCATATGATTAGGTTGTCTTATCGGTTTTCCTCTCCCCAGGATAAATATGTAAATTCTATCCTAAGGTACTGTAATTGCCCGATTTTACATCGTTTCTTTGTTTTATTGTGTTCTTTTGACTGTTTTTGGTGGACGGGCACGTACTTGTACGTTTATAACTTTTTTATTAAGTTATGCCCGTCCTCCAGGTCGTCTGTGTTTTGTTTGTCCGTTTGTTGTTGTTTTGTTCCTATCAGAGTGATTAAAATAAAATTGATTGGTTGATTAAGAGCTAGCTATGCACCTTTCCCCGACCTTTGACCCCGGAATATTCTTCCTATACTTTACCATTGCAATATTCTCGAGGGTATTTTACGAGTGCTTTTGTGTGTTGGCGCCCGTAAAATGGGGTATGTGTTTCAAACCATCATTATGATTCATCGCATACAACGATCTGTTTTTAAAAGTACCGGTAAAGAATTTCAGGCTGGTCATCACAGCTATTTCTACACAATTTTTTTACTGCAATTAAATTAAAACTCTAGAAGAAGAGTGACCATTGAAATATCTGATTTATATTTAAGTTGAAACAACTGAAAACTAACGAATAGAGTTCAAAAACGCAAAAACGAGGTAATGTTTACACCACGCTTGAAAATCTGTCTGAGTGAGAAAAGTGTCTGAGCGGATGCGAAATGAGGGCATTGTTACGTAACTTTGTGAATCTTGCTGATTGGCCAATGTCACGAAGTAAACAAGGTGGTCGATGCTCGGGGAAAGGTCCATGGTCCATGTTCAGTGGGACTTGTCGGTAACGCTCCGCTGCACACAATTTGACCCCGCCTATTGTCAACAGCACAGCTGTTCTGAGTGCGCTGCATTCCCAGCTGACTTCGCCGGTCTGAAGCGCGACCTTGCGTTGGTCAATTTTATTTGCTATACCTGTATACTTTGTTTATTAAAGGCGGTTAAAGTTGGTAGAATAAGAAGCTTCTTAAGTAGTTACTTCTGGGAGGATGGTAGAAAGACAGTTCAAAAGTTTGCACATAACTGCAGTACAGAAATAGTCTACGTGTGATATTTTGAGCCTTAGTGGAACAGTGGAAGGATTACAGGTTTAGGGAATTTTTGAATATCAAGATTTTACTTCAGTGTGTTGTCATTGGTTTTTATATACTCGTTATTTCACGTTTCTAAGATATTATTAAGGATATTTGAAATTGAAACAAACTGCAATTCACGACACCGGCTGTCGGGCTGTGGCTTTCATAGCGAAATGCTGTTGAATAAATTTCATAGTTGCGTGTAGCTCGCCTCTCTTTGCAAGTAAAAGACAAGTAAAAGATAAAATTTTCAAATCAAACATCTTCCCCCTATTGCTAGCTGCGCCGCTGCCGGCACGTTATATATACGGTATATGATAATTTTTTTCAAATCTAGATACCGGTACTGCAGTACTGTATATTCATACTGAATTATACTACACCCATTTCTAATTTTATTATTGTCTCAGTTAGTATATCATAATGGATGTTTCATTGATAGCAGACGCAACGAATAACTTGATAGTATATCTGGCAACAATCATAGAGATTGCTCATTATACTCTGGTAATTTACGGAGTACGGAATGACTGGGGTGAGTTGATCATATATAGACAGTTTTTTACGTTTCAAAAAATGGGTTTCGACCAGTGGGATTCAAATTTTTTGTCAGCCGGTTCCATCACACAGATGTCATATTTTTCAGCCGATTCTGTTACAAAAAGTCATGTATTTTTCAGTAATGTCAACCGGTCCGCAGATTTCATAAAATTCCGTGAGACGGTTCTATAGAACCGGTGCGAACCGGTTGAATCCCACTACTGGTTCCGACCCACAAACTCAGAATGATGGCTTGATGCTTTCTAAAGGCCTATTCTCTATCAGTAGTTGATACCTCCTAAATAATAATACTTTGGGCAAAACATAGAATCCCAAAATGAATCTATTGCATGCTTTTTAACTGAGATATACTCTAGTGTAGGGGTTCTCAAACTTGTAGTGTTATGGAACCCGGGAAGTAGTTGACTAGTTAGTACAAAGCCCCACAATTAGTTTCAAAAAATAAAAACACAAGTGTTATTTGCCGATTATTGTTTCTGAATAAATTAAAATTACTTTATTTAATGACTCCGCTTGTAAATTTTATTGATGACGTTATAGCTTTTTGGACAGTCACAAAATCAGCCAATTCAGTATTTTAATAAGTAAGTGAATAGCTCGGAAAGCCCCTAAGTTTCAATCACAGAGCCCTTTAAAAAATTATTTTAAATTCAGATGTCAACAAGGCAAGGAAACAGCCAGTTGCCACATGGTTGATGTCGATAGCTTGTTGCTACGGTGGAGGGATGATCATAAGTGTTTGTGTAGGAAAACCTGCTCTGACTCCTCTATCCAATAATCAGGTATGGATTTGTTTTATTGTTAAGCTCAGGGCTGTGCAATCTGCGGTCTGTGGCCAAATGCGGCCCAAAAGGAAAAATAATGCGGCCCGCAATTTTATAGTTGTTTATTCTAGTATGTGAGAGTAATTCCGATCCATTTGCATTGCAAAGTCTATACCCGAGTCCAATTTATTATCTATGACCTTACAATGCCCTAACAGCTAGGTTGTGCGAAGCGAACAACGCATGTCAGATCAATAACCAATATTTTTGTGTCTACTAGAAACCTCTGTTAAAATAATGGTGTGGCCCACGGTTTCACCCACTTATTTGTACCCCTTGTATTGAAAGCTCCACATCCCTGAATAGTTAATCTGAGTAAAAAAGCATATGCTATGCTTTCCAAACGGTACGAGGCCTTCGGCGGTCGAATTCACGATCCAGAGATCGCTATAGCGACCAATTTAGTCGTAATTTCGACCCCTGTTCTAACCTTGCAGAACGGTAGTGTTCTGCGGAACACAGTTTGAGAAACGCTGGGTAGGCTGTGCTAAACCGATTTCAATCATTCGTAAAATAGAGCTCCTTACGTATCGACAGGTATCGGTGGCAACATAGCATGATAGCAGGACATATGAATGAATATTATTTTTTCATTTCAGTCAGTTCTCATGATGACAATAGTATGGTGGCACATTTTCTACTCTCCCAAAGATGTCATTTATAATTTGTCGTCATGGAAACCAGCGATGTTAGTGATTGTTCTGGGAAAAGAAATGATCCGAACAAGAAAAATTATAAAAGGTTTGCTGTATATTTGTTTACACTTTCTGGTATTTGATGTTTATTAAAAATTTGCATCAAACTTCGCAATTTTCAGCCGTTTTAGGAATGATTTCCTATTTATATCAGGGAAAGGAATGTTGATAAGACAGCAAATAATATGACGTACCTCAGCCTCTGCTTTCAGTTACAGTCTGTGTTGAGTATGGTGTAAGTTAACCAGTCATTTGTTTCAGATTTCAGGACAAATTTAATTGTAAGAACTTTATTTCATGACACGCTGAAATATGCTGTGTTCCACAGCAGTGTTAACTCTAAGGCAAATTATGAGTGCGAAAGTGCTGTCGCAGTCCAAAAAAAAAGTGCGAAAGTGGCTTTTTGCCGATTTTTAACAAGTTAGGTGCCCTAGCCTTTTCATATAACCCATTTAAAAACGGCATAGATACTCGAAAAAGGGCTCCTCCGGTTAATATATGAATTAAAGAGAAGCCTTTTCGTTTAACCCAGTTCCCTTTGGGCGAATTCATGGTTTAATTAAAACAAGCAAATTCAATCGGCAACCGAAATGACATCTGCTAACACCTGCCGCAGACAAAACTTCATGCAATGTATCACGGTGTCAGTTTGCTTACTCGCGTAAACAGCAAAAGGAATTTCAAAATTTGTTACTCCTTCCAATCTAACAGACAGCGGAAGCCGGCTGGAAACCATATTAGTTACAGGGTGGATCGTTTGGTACAATCCGGTGCAAAATAATCCCCCCCCCCCCAAATATAAATAGCAATCAACTAATTAGGGTTAGGTGCGCTGGAAATTCAACTTTTCGATTCATCCCTAAACCTAATCTGATAATTATTAATTTGTGATTTTGAACCACTTCGAAAGTCGCCACCCGCTGTTTTAAAAGATAGGTTCACTTACGTTCCCTCCGAAATATTATGCAGGATACTCCCCTGTTTTAGGAGATAGGTTGACCTACTTTTCTTTCAAACTTTTTTCTCCGAAATATTACACAAGATCACTTTGAAAATGCTCCTTGAAAATCCTTGTTTTGTGAACTAGCGTGACCTAATTTCTCATTTACATTTATATTATACTATTTCAGAGCTTACCGAAGGACAAGTAATTTTTAAATGTCCACATGCCTTGGTTTGCGTGCGAGTTAGTTTAAATCGGGCAGAAAACATCATATATTGGCAAAATGTTTAGTAATGTCATGTACTTTCAGCATTCTTAAAAAGCACTCTTTGTAATGCTGCTGACCTAGTATCAAATATTCGCATCACAACGCCACTTGCGAGGTTTCCATATATTTCAATTACACTAATAGGAACAATGACATCAAAGAGTTTTCTTTTGCGAAGGTACACTTAATATAATATGAGGATGATTCTTGAGAAAAACATGAATATAAAAAATAAACGAATGATATGATAATGGATCCCAAATAATTTTGAGAGTGTCTCGAAATACCAATCCATTTGATAAATAATTTTTATTCGACCACATGAACGCTGATATCCTGAAAATTAATGTTGAAAGAGAATTACGCATTCTCAGATATCGGACATCCAGTCGCGATATTCAATCGTTCATATGCACAAATCTCACATTAATAGTAATTGCTACCCAAATTTGTAAAGTTTAGAAACCAACAAACAGAAAATAACTAACCTAAAACACAATTAAAATTCAGTCGGCAATAAATTCGTCGCCAAGACGATGCCATACAAAACAAAAAAGATTTGGTCGCGAGAGTTACGTGAGATGACTGCCGTTGTTTTTTATGCAGAATGTAAAAAAAATTATAATTAATAAACGGGAGTTACGGCGCCCTTTACACATCGTGTGTATTAAACTTCCCTGGTAAGTACTATTATTATTGTACCTATACACCTGTTGGAGTATTTCGGACAATTTCGAATTTAAAATAAATGAAAACCAGACATATAATAAAGACGCAAAAGTAAAATGAACATTTATTGAAAAAGTTATTATTTAAGGAAGACAACATGATCGTACAATTCCGCCAAAACCTCGATGTTCGCAAGTGAGATGATAAATAAATACTTCCCTGTATTCGATCAATTAACTTTAGCGTATCGTTGTTCTGCCAACAAACAGCAGGGTGCAAAATATTTCCGTCCTGTGATATGCTCACAAATATTCTCGATGTTAATATCATACCCTCGCGTATGTACTTTCTATTAGCTCTTTAGTGATCCCTTCCATCCTTGGCCAAGTCATGTTTCGAATATGTGAACATTTTATTCGACCACACATGGCCGGCGGGATGTTAAAATTGTAAACAAGAGAGAGGTAAAATCAATCGCGAATTTCGTTATAACGGCTCGTTTACGAATTGTTGCGCCTGTTATCGTCGAAAATGATTACATTTGTTGTATTTTGAGGCATTTAAGCAGTAATAATTAGGGCATGACATCATCAAAATCGTCAAGTGAGATCTTGAAATTGCAAATTCCGTAAATAAAATTGCGAATTATTCGGTAACGAATTCAGCTTTAATGACCGTCGGGGTATTGTTTTGTTGAAAATTATTATTAATGAAAAGTAAAATTTGATCTAAATTAATTGCAAAAATGTTTTATTTCAAATGTAACAAAACACATTTCGCGATATAACCTTTTATTTTCGGAAACGGGTGTCGTGAAAAGTAAAATAGGATCTAAATTAATCGCAAAAATGTTTTATTTTAAATGTAACAAAACACATTTTCGCGATATAACCTTTTATTTTCGGAAACGGGTGTCGTGAAAAGCAAAATATGATCTAAATTAATCGCAAAAATGTTTTATTTTAAATGTAACAAAACACATTTTTCAAGATACAACTGTATTTTCGGATACCGGGTGTCATGGAGAGTAAAATGTGATCTGAATTCACCGTAAATAATGTTTCATTCCAAATGTATCATAACGCATTTTTTGCGATATAACTTTGTATTTTCGAAAACGAGGCGTCACGAAAATTATTAATTTAATGTTTTATCTATCGTCTAACTAACGTCTGGAACACATCATTTTCGGGGAGAACTCTAGCCCGCGAAACGTCATTTAATTTAAAATAGAGAATGTTTCACGCATTTCAAAACGGAAAATCACCAGTAAGTGGACAGGGATTCAACCCTCCGGATTCAGTATTCTATATCCCCGTGTCAGAACTTTCTGAAGAATGGAACAAAGAACCCGTCAAACCGCCGCGGAAGAAGTGGAGTATTTTTTGCACTAATAATCAGGGCGTGACAATATCAAAATCGTCAAGAAACTGGTGAATTTGCAAATTCCATAAATAAAATTGTGAATTGCTCGGTAACATTTTAGCTATAATTATCGCCGGGGTATTGTTTTGTTGAAAACACGTTGAAACTTGACGGAATTAGTTACAATTAGCGCCTGACGTCTATTAGGCACTCGAGCACTCGAAAAAAAAAGCACTCGAGCCCAATCTTTTTAGCATTAAGTCGCATACCTAAAATATCCTGCAAAAGAAGTGCTGTTCATTAACGTCATCTCGTCTTACGACCACGCAGAAATGCCTTTATAGCCGAATTATTCAATCACTATTTCAAATCAACATTCAGGATTGGCACAATTTCAGATTTGCGAAGTTTATCACCATAGAAATACATGAGAAAGTTAATTATCGTCTTAATAAATATCTGCATCACGGTATGGACAATAATATTACCATTCACATAAAATTGGGACGTTAAATTTACAAATCTTGATAGGTAATATTAAAGCCAGCGCAAATGTTAATTTGAGTCCTCAATGTCTTCAACAGCTGTTGCCGATGTGAACGAACGGGTAAACCCGAAATATAAAACTTCGATGTCCGCCGACCCACAAGAATTCATATTTGTAAAAAACAGAGGGCGGGAATATAGATTACCCAAAACCTGGATATCGCCGCCAAAACGATCGGTGACAAGAACAATTAGCGATTACAACGGAATTAACCAGTAAAAAGGCTTTGTTGCCGATTTTTTAATGTTTCCACCACGTTTATGCCCACCCCTCCTCGCATATCAATGAGAAATAGTTGTGTAAATATCGCAAAATTCCGGAAAATGCCACGTTCTTTCAACATTGTGATTACAATAAAATGGCACTTAATGGTATTTTGTGAATTTGTTGATTTTGCAAATCTGTGACATGCTGCTAAAAGTTAAGTCTGATTTGAAAATCGTGCAGTTTGGTCACAATTCATCCAAAGTGACTATAACACCTTACTAACACTTTTTATAGTCATTTTGAATTCATCGATATCATTGATAGTCACATGACCACTCTCGCGGAATCCGTGTGTTTGTATAATAATCATATTATAAACAAGAATTTTGCCGTTAATGCAAAAGCTTCATCTCCTATGTCTGCATCTCATAGGTTAGAATTCCGGTAAATATCGTTATGATATGCAGAATTGAGTTACAAAAGTACTAGTATGTTACTTATTTGTCTACTTATTTGTCAACTTAATACTCGAAAATATTTGTTAACTTTGAATTTTTATTCCATTCAAAATCGGAAAAAAGCGCTATTTCTCTCCATAATCGGAAAAAAGTGCTATTTCGCAGTCCCTAAAAAAAGTTGCGAAAGTGCTTCGCAATTTTCGCAAAAAAGTGCGCTAATAGTGAACACTGTTCCACAGTGCTTGTTTTTCTTCCGTAGTCTCGGTTCTCAGTTAAGGCCAGCATATATTTAAGCATTGATACATGTGCTGTGTGCTGGTATGAATGCAAAGCGTTGCTCTCATGTTATTCCAAACAACGTTTTCGTAATTCAGGTATTTCTGAAGGTAGGGATGGGCAATATAGAATACCGAATCCGGAGGATTCGAATCCCAAAGTATTCGAATCCAACGGGATCCGATAACAGGTCAAAACGTTATCATTTGTGCACAGGTAAGAATCAGATAGAAGTTTCAGGTAGAATAATATTCACAGCATTAATTCTTAACAATAAAACTGTAATTTCAATCATTTTGAACAACCATTTACGGTAACTGAAAGGTTGAAATAACATATGAATATGATGTGATAAATACTGTGCTGTACCTCCATGGGTTAGGCAACAGCTGTGTTTTCCGTTTTTTCCTGAATCAGCAAAACGGAAGGGTCATAAATCAATCACTTTATTTCGTGGTAGCCGTTTCTTTCTGAAGTGCCGTTATCGGGAAGGGAGTGCTTTATTGCACCGGCCACGTTTTGTTTTTAGGATTAAGACAAATAACAGCTGGTATACAAAGTCAATTAAATAATCGGCAGACACTTTGGCATACATTATAAAATATATCAGCCCATATATGAAGCTCACACAAATCATGTTTGAGAAGACTTGCGAAAAATAACCAAATTTATTGCTGTGTCCGCTCAGACCAAATTAAATGCCATGTCCGCTCAGGATATCTCGACTACCTTAATATAAAATAACGATTGTAAAATATTTTCAATCAAAAATGTCCTCATGTCATACGTTTGGTACTTCAAGTCGGCGCTGATTTAATTCCTTTCATGTCGGCAGTAGGTAAGTTTAGTTGTGCCGCAAAGTGCTGTCTTCCATTACGATAAAACAGAAAAGATAATAATCGAAAATTGTTTTAATCAAAATGTGGACAGCAGCGCTAGAATGTGTGTGCCATATACAAGAAGGTAGCGAATCGCGATATTTGAATATTAAATTTGAATTGAACATCATTGACTGTAATAGATGCGTGCGCCGTGTTACGACGGCGTATATGCGAATTTTCATAAATTCACTATTTCGAAGCTGTTATTAGGGAGTCGGCGTATCCGCGTGATAGGCGTATAGTCGAGAAAATACGGTAATTAATTCTCAGCGGGTATGTTTTAGTACACTCGACAGACTTACATTAATAATGATTCAACGCCGTTTCATGTCTATTTTGGATTTAACCGCTTACTATTAAAGTGTGTAAAGCGTGTCTTAGTTTAGCATATCAGTATTTATTAGAATTTAGGGATAACATACATTTGGAACAATTGAGGGCAAAAAATATTGTAATATTTCTAAATTTTATTGTCCTGGGAACTGCCTGTATCAAATGAAATCCAATGTTCAGGACATTTCTAAATAAATATTACATTTATAGTAAGTAATACATTGCAATTTTTTAATATCTAAATCCAGCAATGTGGAAATTCCCACTATTTGAATGGGTATGAAAATAGAATAGGATTCGGTATTCCGGATTCGATTTAACTATTCTAGAATATTCTAGAATAGTAAATTATTCTACATTGCCCATCCCTATCTGAAGGTATTGTTCACTTCAGAAAAAAATTTTGTTCCACTGCGATTCTCACACGGCAACACTTTATTTCGCTGTGCTCATCTCCACGTATGTGCAATTATTGGAATTTTACTCTCTTTTTATTTCAAACAATTATTTTCGTAATTTAGGAGTGAAACTCGGTCGTGGAGCTTTCCCTGACTCTCTCTTGATCTGTACTATTCTTGGAATGTTTGGAGCCTGCGGAGGGGGGTTCGTCAAAAATGCTGCAACGTTTGTGAGGAAACAATGGAATCATGAGACCGTGAAATCTATTCATTTGGCGACGTGAGTATTGATTTGTTACAAATCGAGACATAAAAATTACGGTAATTATTACGGTAGTTAGTGACTGGGCTGTGGAGTTTCAATTTATTGCAAACTTCTGGCACATCCGAACAGGAGTGAAGATTTTGAAATCTTTTGAACAGACAGACAATCAAGTTCACAATTCCAAAAGAGTTTAAATATAGATTTCACCATGAAACAAAATTCAATGTTTTGACTCCAATTCCTAAATATCACTAAAATAATAAAAGTTAATAAGATGCTATAAGCTAGCGCTACTAAAATTTGTGGTAACTCTGGCTCCATCTAACTCGGTAGGCTTTGCTCCATGGCTCCGACTCCAGCCCTGATAGTGACATTCATACATTTTCTAAAATGAAAGAACCCATTGTTAGTGAGCTTGATACATAAGGGAACCCGTTCTAGAATTCTGAATCGCTCTTTGGGAATGTGAAATGGTTTTCTAAGATTAGGGAACCAGTTTGACACAAAAGAGAACCCGTTCTTACAATTTTGAATTTAGTTACGGGCAATTTACCATAATATCCTATTTTTTTTTCCGAGTAACAAAGCTCAGTCTTCTGTTCTCGCTATTTTACAATCTACAACTTCTAGGAATGCTGCCGATCTCATTCAACACTGTTGTTCTTCTACAACTAACTGTGATGTTCCTGATATCGGTAAGACATAATAGATTATAGGCAATTAGCTCATGATTTAATATGGCTTGCTGAACTTGAGTGAAATAGATTAACACTTTGTGTTTTTACCTTTTTGCGTTCTAATACGGCCAGGCCAATTGGATACTCCCGTAATGTGTACCAGGTTAAGGGTTATTCTCTACAGCAGGCCTGCCTAATGTCTTTTATGGTTGCAATCCACTTTCACATTAGAAAGTTTTTTGTGGGTTGCAAACTCAAATACCAACCAAGTTTTGATTTACCTTGGAAATAAAATAGTTTATTTACATAATGAATCAAATCCAAAAAAACTGAGTAGAGCAGGCGAAATATTTGAATATCGTATCAATACTAAAATATTTGAGCTGCAGTTTACTATTCGAATATCTGGTAACACATTACCTGGGCATGTCACTGAAACAAATTCTTCTTGCCTTGTATTTGTACACAGGGTCCCATGCCATGTCAATTTACCCCCTCCCATTAAACAAAAAATTACAAACTTATTTATAGCGCTGGAGAATTTAATAACATACCACAAAAAATATAATATACACATACAGTATTTGAGTCTATTTGAGTATTTCTATACGGCATATTTTTAAGTAACAAAAATGAGTTTTACCACTGCCAAGGTTTGGAAATTACGCGCCGAATATTGTGTGTCTTGCTGACAAAGGATGCTACAATACCTTCTGCAGTATGCAAAAATATTGTCTCATTTTAAAAGTAGTATGATGAATTTTATTCGCAAGTGGCATCAGAATTTCTTATTTTATTTAATTCCAAGCGAGCAAAGAATTACTTTTGAAGGAAATTGTAAATTAGATACCAAAGTTTGAGCAGTCATGTAACATTCATGGTTTGAGAATATTTATTTTTGCTGTTTAGATGATACATACATAAGTCAAACACTTTAACACCCAGTTCATCACACCGGCCTGATGACAACTTAGTTAGAACTACTAGGTGTTAAAATAATACTGCAAAATTAACAGACGTTGAAATGAAATGCTACTTAAAACATTTTAACACCTTTTAAAAGCTTTTTATACTTATATTTATAGAACGCAGAGGACCTCCACCTACCACCTCCACCTCTTTTTTTCCGAGTAACAAAGCTCAGTCTTCTGTTCTCGCTATTTTACAATCTACAACTTCTAGGAATGCTGCCGATCTCATTCAACACTGTTGTTCTTCTACAACTAACTGTGATGTTCCTGATATCGGTAAGACATAATAGATTATAGGCAATTAGCTCATGATTTAATATGGCCTGCTGAACTTGAGTGAAATAGATTAACACTTTGTTTTTTTACCTTTTTGCGTTCCAATACGGCCAGGCCAATTGGATACTCCCGTAATGTGTACCAGGTTAAGGGTTAGGCCGTAATTTGATTTCCTTATTTTAGTTCTATTACGAGTACGGAAACTGTTTGTGTATTGCCAAGTGAATATACCCCTGCCCATAGGTTTCATTCCCTTCACACAACTTGATGTAAAGTAGGCAAACAAAATTAGTTACCTCCATATTGGTACACATACTTCTGGAGCGCCTCAAATTGTAATGTCATTATCACAGTTTAAGTATGTATATATTCGTAAGAATTCAAATATATCGGAATTTTAATTTCACGTACAAGTATCTGCCCCTTGTGTCCATTTGTCTCTCCTAGTCTGCGAATATCCTTTGGCTTCTTATTTTGGACCCTGGCCAATCAACTTCGGGAACCAATGTAATAGATAACATATTTTGAACTATGTCATGATAAAATTATAACATGCAAAACCGAAATTCAGGAATGTTTACAAAACTTTAAACTAGGTTTGAATATAAGCACTACATGTTTGTTCAACATGCTTTCGAACTGTAATTATTCTCGACAGCAGGCCTGCCTAATGTCTTTTATGGTTGCGATCCACTTTCACATGAGAAAGTTTTTTGTGGGTTGCAAACTCAAATACCAGCCAGGTTTGATTTACCTTCAAATTTACTTATTACATAAAATAATTTATTTACATAAAATTAATCAAATCCAAAAATACCGAGTAGAGCAGGCGAAATATTTGAATATCGTATTGAGATTAAAATATTAGAGCTGCAGTTTACTATTCGAGTATCTGGTAACACATTACCTGGGCATGTTACTGAATCAAATTCTTGCCTTGTATTTGTACCTTGTATTTGTATGTATTTATGTCAATTTATTCCCTCCCATTAAATAGTCTGGCCTTGGAATTCCCTGCAGGATTCGAACCTACGAACTCATGCAGGTCAATTAGAGGTTAGATAGCAGGCATTCAAGTCCTATGACACGTTTAGACCAACTTACATATAAAAAATTAACAAATTCTCGTTACTTCAGGCTTCTTCCAAGTTTGGCGTCAACTTTGATCCGTTCCATCGAATTGAGAAGATAATCACAAGTTGTGTGATAGATTATTCTGCGTATGGGGGGAACTGAGGAGGAAAAATCCCCTCAGAAAAAAGTCGGGGAGGAAAAATCCCCTGAAAAGAAAAAAGATTCTTTGAAAAAGAAAGAATAAGCCCACAGGTTTTCAAATTTAATTTACTTCCTGTAATGCATTGAATTATCTGTTTAATTTAAATCAGGGTATTTTTTCCGATATTGAAACTTGTATTTCCCTCTTTCAACGTTAATTTTAACAGTTTTTATAATTCTGTATTACAAATCCCCACGCATTGCATTAATGCAATTTATGATTGTGTGACTGTATTATAAATATTAAATTATATATTATTATAACGCAGCTAAAATTTTAACATAGTCTTCCCTCTCTCAATGTTAATTTTGTTAATTTATTTCATTTTTTAAAACAAATATTTTTTTATTTAAATGAGTTTAAATTGAACAATGCAATAGTCTTGTGAAAAACTAGTCATTTGGGAACCACTGACATATATTACAATCAATTGTTTCAAATACTTTAGTGCAGCGTTTCTTAAACTGTGTTCTGTTCCACATGCTTTCTGAAATTGTTCTGCAGAACAGGGACAAAATTGGTCGCCATGGCGATCTCGGCCTTACTTCGGCGATAAATTTTTCTCCCAACTGGTGACAAACAGTTGAACAGACCTTGCTATGTGGGAAGTCCGGGAAGATATGCATTTTACCATATTCAATTGTTTCATCGTCTAATAGCTGTAATAAGCCTATGCTGATTATTGGGTCAAAATAAACTTATACTAGTCTCGTAGTGGCCAGTCTTTGAAAGAAAGTAAACATGAGGAACCCGATACCCGAATCCATGTTTGTGCATAGACTGTCAAGGGCTGTTGGTATTTTAATCAGGCTCAAAAATTATGTGCCATTGAGTGTTTTACATTCAATATGGTATTGTCTTATGGGGTTCAGCATCAAAACCGCGCTTTCAGGAATACATCAAATGTGTCGTTGCGAACTAGACTTAGTCCACTATTTTGAAACTGAATGACTTATTTCACTATGAAATAGGGAAAATCATGCATAAATTCTCCTCAGCGAGTTTACTTGAATCGTTTGCGTCATATTTCACCGATTGTAGTAGCCTATATTCGTATAATACACGATCCTCTTTATAAAATTCATATTTTATTCCAAGAGCTGACACAAAATTCCCCCAAAAATCAATCAAGTGCACTGGTCCAAAAATTTGGAATCAAATTCCTGAATCCATTAGATTGCCTTCCTATGTGAAATTTAAAAAAAGTTACCTAAATTTTCTTGTTAAGGATTACTAGAGTATAGTTATGATATTCAATAATGATTAAAACATGTAACTATCCATCATATAATGGTCACATTGCCACTGTTTGCTTACTATCTTTCAATTTTCAAACTAATTTTAAATAATTTTCTACAATTCACTTATTTTTTCTGGTACCTATTATTATCTGTATTGAGAGTATACTTCGTTTAAATATTTGGTAGATAACTAGTCGACGGTTACTTTATATTTTTTTCTCAATTATTATTTATCTAGAATGGGTGGTGGCTGACTTTGATGACCTTAGGTTGTATCCAGTAGTGGGATTCAGCTGGTTCGCACCGGTTCTATAGAACCGTCTCACAGAATTTTATGAGAACAGCGAACCGGTTAGCATTACTGGTTACTCTCAATGACTTTTTGCAACAGAACCGGGTGAAAAATATGACTTTTGTGATGGAACTGCCTGACAAAAAAATTGAATCCCACCACTGGTCGTATCGCCATCTCCCAGTCTTCTCTGACTGCGACTCACAAGGCCTGCTTGAAATTGTGGCCCTCTAACTCTGCAAGCTTAGACTAGCCTGAAGTACAAAATCGAAAGTAGTTTGGTGTTTTGCGCGAGCATAAATGTAAACAAAGTTAATTTTTTAACTTGAAATATATTATGATTTTAGAGTGTAACTTATGCAATATGAAACTAATGAATTATGGGAAATTGAAGAATCTAGAACAGAATTGTTGCAAAAGCAGGTTATACATATTTATGCTTCATGAATATCCATGTCCTCGTAAATTCTCTGACTCCAGCATCAAAACACTTGTTAGTACACGGTACCATGTTAGGGTAAATACTACAGGTTTCTTCCTGCCAAAAAGTGTCATTATTTTGTTACTTGTACACTTGATGGTATATATGCACACAATCAAATGTTCGAAGCCCTTTACTATAGCCTACTCTTTTTACGGTATCTCGCCAAGACAACACTGTGAGACTGTCTGGTCTCACACTTTTATTTTCATGGTAACTAGACTGTGGTGCATGAAATCGACTTTTTTTTGTTTAAACAGTGATTGTTTGGTATGTACCGGATCGCTTTGACGTACCTATTGCTTTTCATTTTATTTATTCAATAACATATTTAGTTCGATTTTATTATATTCATCGGGTTTCTGTTAGATTTCCCCAAGGGTGGAGTCGCTCGATAACCAGTATTGGTTTTCGACATCTCCTTTCACCCTGGAATGCGACTTTTTATATTTCCTTTAATTTGTGTATGTATCAGTGTTAACTCTAAGCGAATTATGAATGCGAAAGTGCTTCGCAGTCGAAAAAAAAAGTGCGAAAGTGCTTTTGCCGATTTTACCAAGTTAGGTGCCCTAGCCTTTCATATAACCCATTTAAAACAGCATAGATACTCGAAAAAGCGCTCCTCCGGTAAATATTATGAATTAAAGAGAAGCCTTTCCGTTAACCGAGTTCCCTTTAAGCGAATTCATGTTTAATTAAAACAAGCGAATTCATCGGCAACGAAAGGACAGCTGCTAACACCTGCCGCGGACAAAACTTTCATGCAATGTATCACGGTGTCAGTTGCTTACTTGCGTGAACAGCAAAGGCTTTCACATTTGTTACTCCTTCCACCTAACAGACAACGATTGATACATGCAGGCTGGAAACCATATTAGTTACAGGGTGGATCATTTGTACAAAACCCGTGCAAAATAATTCCCCCCCCCCCCCCTCCCCCAAATATAAATAGCAATCAACTAATTACGGTTAGGTGCCCTGGAAATTCAACTTTTCGATTTATCACTAAACCTAATCTGATAATTATGAATTTGTGATTTTGAACCACTTTGAAAGTCGCCACCCGCTGTTGTAAAAGATAGGTTAACCTACGTTCCCTCCGAAATATTACGCAGGATACTCCCCTTTTAGGAGATAGGTTGACCTACTTTCCTTTCAAACTTTTTTCTTCGAAATTTTACACAAGATCACTTTGAAAATCCTCTCGTTTCGTGAGCTAGCGTGACCTAGTTTCTCATTTACATTTATATTATACTATTTCAGAGCTTACCCAAAGACCAGTAATTCTTAAATGTCGACATGCCTTGGCTTGCGTGCGATTTCGGGCAGAAAACATCATATATTGGCAAAATGTTTAGTATTGCCGTGTACTTTCAGCATTCATAAATAGCGCTCTTTGTAATGCTGCTGACCTAGTATCAAATATTCGCATCACAACGCCACTTGCGAGGTTTCCATATATTTCAATTACACTAATAGGAACGATGACACCAAAGAGTTTTCTTTTGCGAGATACACGAAATATAACAGGGTGATTCTTGAAAAAAACATGAATATTGAAAATAAACGAATGATATGATAGTGGATCCCAAATAATTTTGAGAGTGTCTCGAAATACCAATCCATTTGATAAATAATTTTTATTCGACCACATGAACGCTGATATCCTGAAAATTAATGTTGAAAGAGAAGTACGCATTCTCAGATACCGGGCATCCAGTCGCGATATTCTATCGTTTATATGCACAAATCTCACATTAATAGTAATTGCTACCAAGTTTGTGAAGTTTAGAAACCAACAAACAGAAAATAACTTACGGTTATTCTAAAACACAATTAAAAATCAGTCGGCAATAAATTGCGCCAAGACGATGCCATACAAAACGAAAAAGATTTGGTCACGAGAGTTACGTTAGAGGGCTGCAAAACGACGTTGTTTTTTAAGCAGAATGTAAAACAATCAAATAAAAAAACGGGAGTTACGACGCCCTTAACACATCGTGTGTATTAAACTTCCCTGGTAAGTACTATTATTATTGTACTTATACACCTGTTGGAGTATTTCGGACAGTTTCGAATTTAAAATAAATGAAAACCCGACATTCAATGAAGACGCAAAAGTAAAATGAACATTTATTGAAAAATTTATTATTTAAGAAAGACAACATGATCGTACAATTCCGCCAAAACCTCGATGTTCGCAAGTGAGATGATAAATAAATACTTCCCTGTATTCGATCAAATAACTTTAGCGTATCGTTGTTCTGCCAACAAACAGCGGGGTGCAAAATATTTCCGTCCTGTGATATGCTCACAAATATTCTCGATATTATTATCATACCCTCGCGTATGTACTTTCTATTAGCTCTTTAGTGATCCCTTTCATCCTTGGCCAAGTCATGTTTCGAATATGTGAACATTTTATTCGACCATACATGGCCGGCGGGATGTTAAAATTGTAAACAAGAGAGAGGTAAAATCAATCGCGAATTTCGTTATAACGGCTCGTTTACGAATTGTTGCGCTTGTTATTGTCGAAAATGATTACATTTGTTGTATTTTGAGGCATTTAAGCAGTAATAATTAGGGCATGACATCATCAAAATCGTCAAGTGAGATCTTGAAATTGCAAATTCCGTGAATAAAATTGTGAATTACTCGGTAACGAATTCAGCTTTAATGACCGTCGGGGTATTGTTTTGTTGAAAATTATTATTAATGTGAGAGCGCCAAAAAGATACAGTCCATACCGATACGACTGCAATTTATATGGCCGCACTTGGTGTGGCGCGTTTATTAATAGTGTAAAATGAATTAAACGGATATCAATTATAACCAAGCCTGTCGGCGTGTTTATTTTCTGTGGTCAAGAATCGTAAAATACCATCTTGAGACAAATTCACTTCTATTGCAAAATCTTAATTTTCAGTTATTATCGTTATACAAATAACGTGTGGCAACTTTTTAATTTATCGTCGACCAAAAAACCGCCCCACACTCGCCCAAACGTGTGTCGAGCTTGAACGACAGGAACAATTTCATCGACTTTAATTAGGGAAAATATGTATTTTATTGGGAATGCAAAATAAATGTAACAAAACGCATTTTTTGTGATATAACTTTGTATTTTCGGAAACGGGTTGCCGTGAAAGGTAAAATTTGATCTAAATTAACCGCGTTAAAATCGTCAAGTGAGATCTTGAAATTGCAAATTCCGTGAATAAAATTGTGAATTACTCGGTAACGAATTCAGCTTTAATGACCGTCGGGGTATTGTTTTGTTGAAAATTATTATTAATGTGAGAGCGCCAAAAAGATACAGTCCATACCGATGCGACTGCAATTTATATGGCCGCACTTGGTGTGGCGCGTTTATTAATAGTGTAAAATAAATTAAACGGATATCAATTATAACCAAGCCTGTCGGCGTGTTTATTTTCTGTGGTCAAGAATCGTAAAATACCATCTTGAGACAAATTCACTTCTATTATAAAAACTTAATTTTCAGTTATTATCGTTATACAAATAACGTGTGGCAACTTTTTAATTTATCGTCGACCAAAAAACCGCCCCACACTCGTCCAAACGTGTGTCGAGCTTGAACGACGGGAACAATTTCATCGACGACTTTAATTAGGGAAAATATGTATTTTATTGGGAATGCAAAATAAATGTAACAAAACGCATTTTTTGTGATATAACATTGTATTTTCGGAAACGGGTTGCCGTGAAAGGTAAAATTTGATCTAAATTAACCGTAAAAATGTTTTATTTTAAATGTAACAAAACACATTTTGCGATATAACCTTGTATTTTCGAAAACGAGTGTCCTGAAAAGTAAAATATGATCTAAATTAATCGCAAAAATGCTTTATTTTAAATGTTACAAACACATTTTCGCGATATAACCTTGTATATTCGGAAACGGATGTCGTGAAAAGTAAAATATGATCTAAATTAATCGCAAAAATGTTTTATTTTAAATGTAACAAAACACATTTTTCGCGATACAACTGTATTTTCGGATACCGGGTGTCATGGAGAGTAAAATATGATCTGAATTAACCGTAAATAATGTTTCATTCCAAATGTATCGCATGGTTGCAAAACGCATTTTTTGCAATATAACTTTGTATTTTCGAAAACGGGGCGTCATTATTAATATAATGTTTTATCTATCGTCTGACTAACGTCTGGTACACATCATATTCGGGGAGAACTCCAGCCCGCGAAAGGTCATTTAATTTAAAATAGAGAACGTTTCACCCATTCCTAAACGGAAAATCGCCAGTAAGTCGACAGGGATTCAACCCTCCGGATTCAGTATTCTATATCCCCGTGTCAGAACTTTCTGAAGAATGGAACAAAGAACCCGTCAAACCGCCGCGGAAGAAGGGGAGTATTTTTTGCACGAATAATTAGGGCGTGACATTATCAAAATCGTCAAGAAACTGGTGAATTTGCAAATTCCATAAATAAAATTGTGAATTGCTGGGAAACATTTTAGCTATAATTATCGCCGGGGTATTGTTTTGTTGAAAACACGTTGAAACTTGAGGGAATCAGTTACAATTAGCGCCTGGCCTCTATTAGGCACTCGAGCACTCGAAAAAAAAGCACTCGAGCCCAATCTTTTAGCATTAAGTCGCATACGTAAAATATCCTGTAAAAGAAGTGCTGTTCATTAACGTCATCTCGTCTTATGACCACGCAGAAATGCCTTTATTGCCGAATTATTCAATCACTATTTTAAATCAACATTCAGGATTGGCACAATTTCGGATTTGCGAACTTTATCACCATAGAAAAACATGAGAAAGTTAATTATCGTCTTAATAAATATCTGCATCACGGTATCGTCAATAATATTACCATTTGCATAAAATTGGGACGGTAAATATACAAACCTTGATAGGTTTTAAAGCAAACGCAAATGTTAATTTGAGTCCTCAATGTCTTCAACAGCTGTTGCCGATGTGAACCAACGGGTAAACCCGAAATATAAAACTTCGATGTCCGCCGACCCGCAAGAATTCATATTTGTAAAAAAGAGAGGGCGGGAATATAGATTACCAAAACCTGGATATCGCCGCCAAAACGATAGGTGACAAGAACAATTAGCGATTACAACGGAATTAACCAGTAAAAACGCTTTGTTGCAGATTTTTTACCGACGTTCCAAAAATATTCGTTATTCGGTACTCGGTTAAAAATATTCGATTCAAAAAAGTATTGAATTTTGCCCACCCGTACTCGTATATCAATGAGAAATAGTTGTGTAAATATCGCAAAATTCCGGAAAATGCCACGTGCTTTCAACATTGTGATTACAATAAAATGGCACTTAATGGTATTTTGTGAATTTGGTGATTTTGCAAATCTGTGACATGCAGCTAAAAGTTTCGTCTGATTTGAAAATCGTGCACTTTGGTCACAATTCATCCAAAGTGACTATAACACTTTACTAACACTTTTATAGTCATTTTGAATTCATCGATATCATTGATAGTCACATGACCACTCTCGTTCAAAGAAACGCACTGTGTAGTATTCCAACATCTGGTTTCAAAGACGCCAGGAGCGTTTATGCGGGAGAAGCGGAATCCGTGTGCTTGTATAATAATCATATTATAAACAAGAATTTTGCCGTTAATGCATAAGCTTTATCTCCTATGTCTGCATCTCATAGGTTAGAATTCTGGTAAATATCGTTATGATATGCAGAATTGAGTTACAAAAGTACTAGTATGTTACTTATTTGTCAACTTAATACTCGAAAATATTTGTTAACTTGAATTTTTATTCCATTCAAAATCGGAAAAAAGTGCTATTTCTCTTCAAAATCGGGAAAAAGTGCTATTTCGCAGTCCCTAAAAAAAGTTGCGAAAGTGCTTCGCAATTTTCGCAAAAAAATGCGCTAATAGTGAACACTGGTATGTATAGTTTGTACTTTCAGCATGTTGAAGAAATAAGTTACTGATTACTATATTTACTAACTCAATCCTTTATTTCTAGCTTTGCCGCAAATTGAAAATGTTTCATCTCAAAGAAGTGGATCCGACATTCTTTTGACTCGGAATGCAGTATCTGACAGAAACGTTCTATACAACATAGAAATCTTCGGTGATGATGTGAAACTTGGAGAGACTCACACTACAGAAGTTCCTCAGTATAGAATGAAGTCACCTATACTTGGTAAAACATATCGTTTCCAAGTCTGGGCCAAGGATGAATGGGGAAACTCTGGCATCAAAACGCAGTCAAAGAATGTTATAAAAGGTATATTTCCAGGATTATGTAGATTTCAATTATTTTTGTCATGGACTTCTGTAAATAATACACATACGAGTATACATAAGAGCAACCACTGGCAGTCAGAATCATATTGTGGTGACAATAGACTGCCCAACTCATTGTAACAATTTATTCCAGTTTTGTCATGGATTATATCCTAATCGACTAGCACAGGGGTGTGCAAAATGTGGCCCGTGACCCAAGAAACGAGTTTTTAGTTTCGTTTATCTGGTACGTGCGAGCAATTCCAATCTTTTTATGCCTCAAAGCCTATACTGTACCAGTACCTGGGCGCCACTGCGATATTAGCAACACTAGCTAGCAAAATTCTGTTGCAAATTACACACGGCTGAGAAAATGTAGCAAAGGCACGGCCTGCAGCCTTACCCAGTTACTTGTATCTGGCCCTCCTGTAATAAAGTTTGCACACCCCTGGACTACAGCATGATATTAAAATTAAAGCAAAGCAAGTAAGAATTACAGTATGCAATAAATTGCGACTATTGGGATTTACAGCAATCACTCTATAGCAGTGGTTCCCAAACTGGGGTCTGCGGACCTATTGGGGACCGTGAAGCACTTTTGGAGGGTCCGCGAAATAAATCTGTAATATGGCTATTAGCTTGAGTGCCTAAACAAATACACATTTATCGCCTTTTGCTGTTTTGCAATCACCGCTAGAGACACTGATTCTTCACTTTATGTTTCGATCACGCTGCCCCATTGTAATGTCACAGAGCTGTGGGCCTGTGATATCACAGAGAGGGTTCAATTCATGCCACCACAGGTATACTAACTGCAGAGCTGTAGCTGACGCTGCCCTTTTACCAAATATCGAAACAGACTGGATGTCACACTCACATTAGAGTTGCGCTTTAAATTCTTTTGTTCGTTTCACTATACGGCACATTGATCTTTGTTGTGATCTTTTAATGTTTTGGTGCACAAGATAGGGAATCGTTAAAAAAATTGCGAGGGGTCCGTCATGGAATTTGTTTCAAAAAATTTGGGAACCACTGCTCTATAGCAAAGCTGGTCAACTCGTTGATCGCCGCGTCCAGAGTAGCCGATATCATCTGATATTGTTGAATTTAATGGGTGAATGGGTGGGCCAACTGGGTGAATTTAATAACATACCACAAAAAATACAATATACACATACAGTATTTGAGTCTGGGCAAGTTCTATAGAGCATATTTTTACGTAACAAAAATAAGTTTTACCACTGCCAAGGTTTGAAAATGACACGTCGAATACTGTGTGTCTTGCTGACAAAGGATGCTACAATACCTTCTGCAGTATGCAAAAATATTGTCTCATTTTAAAAGTAGTATGATGAATTTTATTCGCAAGTGGCATCAGAATGTCTAATTTTTTCTAATTCCAAGTGATCAAAGAATTACTTTTGAAGGAAATTGTAAATTAGATACCAAAGTTTGAGCAGTCATGTAGCATTTATGGTTTGAGAATATTTATTTTTGCTGTTTAGATGATACATACATAAGTCAAACACTTTACCGCCCAGTTCATCACACCGGCCTGATAACAACTTAGTTAGAACTACTAGGTGTTAAAATAATAACGCAAAATTAACAGACGTTGAAATGAAATGCTACTTAAAACATTTTAACACCTTTTAAAAGCTTTTTATACTTATATTTATAGAACGCAGAGGACCTCCACCTATCAACTTTGCTGGAGCAAATATTGGGAATCTTCATCTATCGGGAGAGAAAATCAGAACAATCAGCAAATGGTGAGATTTGAGTAATATTTATTCTCAACTTTCTATAAAGATTTTTCAAAGTATTCATATGTATGTTTTCAATCATCTCCTACACGATGTAATAGACAGTTACAGGCTCGGTTGTGTGGTGCATCGTGCTAAGCGATATGAATACACTTGGTTCCACCCCTTTGATTACCCTGTGGGTTTGCAGGTTCGAATCCTGTGGGGGATAATTACGTGTGAGAGGATTGCTGGACTCTTCGGCGCTGCAGGGTGTTTCACGAAACCGCTGGTCATTTATGTCTTCCTCCACCATCAAGTTGCAATCGGAAATATTGACTAACTATCCCCATACTCTACATTGACTGATAACCAGACGAGAGTCTGTGGTTCGTCATATGATTAAGCAGTGTTATCGGCTTTTCCTCCCCCGAGATAAATGTGCAAAACCTATCCTAATTCATGTTGATAATAAGCCCCAAAATGTGATGTCACTATGCATATTAGAACTTTGCTATACCATGGGACCAGAAACTGTGGGATATTCAATCACTGAGCCATATGAAATATTTAATCCCTAAATTTAAATGATATTTGTCTGCGTTTTTATGGCAGGCAATAAAGATAAAAAATATGCTAGATAGTGAAATTGAAATTTTTTTAAGGGGCAAAATGAACAAGAAGAAGCTGGTGCAGTAGGTGGAAACCATGCAATAGAATAAACCAATACAGCATGAAGGTGATGACGGTACGTGAAATACCATTTACTAAAACAGCAAACTTGATTTCTTGTCTTTTATATTCTCGAAATAGTTCGTGGAGTCATATTAGATCAGTGGTTCGCAACCTTTGATAATTAGAATGAAAATTACCATTCAGTAGCAGAAAACAACATCATCAATCATTTGTACTACAATCAAAATTATAGATAGTGATACAAATAAAACTAACATTTTTTAATGGTTCTGAGGCCCACCTCAAAATCTTTTCGTGGCGCAGCAGTGGGACATGGCCCACTGGTTGAGAACCAGTGTATTGGATGAAACAATAACTCATTTTGTCTCCTATTTTTGCTATGTTCACTGTACTGTGAGTAATTGTCTTCGTTTTTTGAATGTGGTCTTTACATATCTGCGGACGATCAATTACCCTTGAAATATTATTATATTTGCAGGAATTCAACCAGGTTTTCCTCAAGTTCATTTTTAACAAACAATATTCAAGATTTGTAATTGTTGCTGAACTAATGCCTTGTTCAAACATCACATAGAAAATTGCTATGATATTTCTCTACTGAGCACAATTTTTAGAGTCATCTGAATGAAAATTTTGTTTTTCAGATTCCGATGATCTTGAGAAGTCTCCCAAACTGACCACGTTCTAAAGACATTGCAATAAGACAATAATCTCAGACTTAATGCCGAATGATCCTGTGGTATCCTGCAACACATTATGGACATGCATATGTAGTGAAAGGCTTAAATATTAGAAATATTAACTCTTAAAGACTAGATAGTCTAGTCCAATAATAGTAGAATTAGGGGAAAAATTTCATAATTTTTTTTTTATGTGAAATGCTGATTTTGCATAGGCTTGGATTGTGAAAACATAGTAATTGACTCTTAGTCATATGCACCACCCTTCAGCAACGATTTCGGCAATTTAGGTCATCCCTCACAAGATTTGACCTCTTGAACTGACCTCAGAGCATTTTGTAAAATTCTGCACCAAATCCTGATCAGCATGTTTTTTCATACAAATTCTTGTCATTTCATAATTTTTTAATTTTTTTTTCCTATTAGTTTTACAAATTAGGTTCAAATAGCCATTGTTCGAATTTTTATTAATTTTTGTTGTGAAATGGATTATTATCTTTTGCTTTTATGTTTTTCAATTATTGTCAACCACTGATATTTATTATTTCTGTGTATATTTCAAAACATCCCTATGAATTTATGATATTCTGATTTGTCGGCAAACCCGCCATAAATTATGCATTTCTTGACTGTTATAATAACAGTTGGACTGGAGTGATTGATTTTTGGCTCAGTGTTGTGGTTTGATATTGTGTTCCGAAAACTTGGTAGCTAAGGACTCTACTGGAGCCCAGTGTAACTTTGCCCCTAATCTATGTAAAGTAATAAGAAATGTCCATTATGGATTCTAGTAATAATATAATAGTGATACATGTAGAATATTACAATGATGTTTTGCAATGCCTATTACGAATTTCCATTTTTTTGTCTTTTGTGTGAGTCAGGTTTTTAAATTTTCATGTACTGCAATCCGCTTTTCTTGTTCATCATTATTCTCTATAACTCCGTGTGTGTCTCTAAGTTTTAAAAAAGTAAAAATAGTCAAAAAATAATAAATAAAAATTTATGTATTTCCCTAAATATGAAAAAGTAAAAAAAATTAAAAAAACAGCAAAAAATTTCGTGTATCCCATAAATTTGAAAATATAAATGTGAAATATTTCATTAAAGAGCTTATAGCTTTATGATACAAAATGAAATGATCAACATAACACTTTGGCCTGCATACTCTAACAGGTCTTCTGTCAAAAATGCTTCGATTTTCTTTTTATTCTATGTTGTATTTTGTTAATTGTTGTAGCATCTGTATAATAAATAATCAATGTGATAGAACCGGGCTCCATGCCCAAGAGCCTGATTGCCTACAACTAGAATTTTGCGAGTTACATGCTGTTCGGATCTCATGGATTTCAATTTTGTGTGAGAGACTAGCAGAATTCAACTGGTAGGTTGGTTAAGGAAATCGACCCATATTTTACTAGCAACTATTCACCTGGGTTAGTGTTTGGACGGTAGGGCATCATTCATCATATAGCTAAAGCCAAGGAATTTTATTTTTATTCCTTCGTAATGAAGAGGAAAAATTAATCCAAAGCCAAGTACTTGAAATTGCCATTTTTCGATAACCTGAATGTTTATTACGACAAGACTTTCATGGTGATGCTGGCAGCCTTGGCTATCAGAAATCAGAGTATCAAAAAGTGAATGATGTCGAATGGACAGGCAGCAATGCATCTCCTAGAACTTTAGTTTTTGGCAGTTCGACACAATGAAAATGGATGCGACTTTTGCGAGACGTCAACCGCTATATGTAGCCTACCTGAAGAAGGAATAATGTAGCGGCAGATCTCACCCTAAATGCGGTCGAGTCACGCTAAAGTCGCATGTGACAATGATTAGGACAGGGTTTCCCAAACTGTGTGACACGGCACACTAGTGGGCCGCCAAGGTCGTGAAAATGTGCCACGAATTTTATACACAAAATTCCTGAGATTTTTTCACAATAATTAACGATGCAACATGAACTTTATTACATTGCAATCAGTAATGGATGTAGTTCGGTACCACACATATTATAGGGTGACCTAAAAAACGAAACCCAGTCCATTTGGAACATATTTTATGGATTCCGTTTTTTGGGGTCAACCTCAATAAAGATTTATTATTCAATGCCCACCGATAGGTGATGTAATATGCCACACTTCTCTAATTTCTGAATATATAAGGTGTTAAGTTTTCGACCCCAACCCAACAATACAAGTTTGCTCAAAGCAAAGTCGCAAGTCTTAACTAAACAATCTCTTTCAAACTGTCAGCAGTTGAGAAATTGAAGAGACTCTTAAAGCGATATTAATTTCATAATATTTGACATGTCATGTTTTCACATGAAATATTTAGAGTTCTCAATTTTATCACAAATTTCGCCATGCAAATTTTCTGTCAATACAACATATGTAGTAGAATATATATAGAACAACAAAATATTTTTCACATTTTCATGATTCTGCATATATTAATTTTCTGCACTGACAGAAACGATAAAGACTTGTTGTTACAATTGACCCACAAAATCTTGTTTTAATCTTATTCAATGTCGAAACGCATATTATTAATGGATGAGTAATAAGTGTGCCACGACTTTTTAATCTTGTTGTCAGTGTGCAGCAAGCTGAAAAAGTTTGGGAACCCCTGGATTAGAGGACTCTAGCTCTGCCTTTACCAAGTTGAGATACGCCTCGTTAGGCATGGCCAACCTTGGTTAAGCAGTAATCAAAGATCAACTTTTATAATTGGATTTGGTGTAGAGAGGAAATCCAATAATCATATGGCGAGCCGTGGACTCTTGTTGGGGAAACAGTACATGTACAAAGAGCTTTAACCTGGGGCATCAGGTCATCAACATTTACATTTTTTAAAATCTTGAACTTATATATATATCTATCCTGGGGACAGGGAAAACTGATATTACAAATTGACCATATGGCTAGCCACGGCCTCTGGTCCTATTACCGATAGTCCATGTCCAATACAAGGTTTAATTGCCAGTTATTTTGTTTCAGATGGTTATACTTATAGGATATGATTTACATATTCATCCCGTGGGAGAAGGAAAACCGGTGAAACGAATTAATCATATTGCGAATCAGGGTCTCTCATCCGGTTACCAGTCCATGACAGGTATGAGAATAGTAAGCCAGTTATTTGTACAAAGCGCATGTACCTGTGGCATCTGATTGGTCAACACTTTGGGTGTCGCTGCTTGATAACCATTTTTGGTTCACCGCGACTCCTCTTCCCCATATTCATTATGTGTATTCAATATTACTCGTTAAACATCGTATATTATTTATACTGGATGGGTAAAACAAACTTGACTATGCCATACCGCGACCGATTGGTCTGTTACCAATCCATGTCAGGTATGGGAATTGTATTATAAGTCAACCAGTTATTGGTTTCAAATGCAGAATAGCGCAGATGTGATTGAACATGGAATACTACTTGAACTGGAAATTACGGGGGTTGACTATCACAGGCTGAAACTGATGGAAAAGTTCAAAGGTCAGGGAACAAAATTTCTTTTGTTGCTTCAATAATTTAGGCAGCATAGAAGAACCTGTAACCGAACAGCGATTGCATTAACCACTCTACAGTATAATCACGTTCCATTAAACCATTCTCAGATTATGTAGTTGTGATTACAACAAGTTCATACTCATAGGTTATCAATGCGACAAGAAGACCAGCTATGTGCGCTGGCTTCAGTGAGCTAAAGTAGGTTGCAATAGAGAACAAAAAATCGCTAACACGACCTTTAAACTATTTGTCAATGACTACAAGAACATTCTTCATAATTGTACCGTATTCTGGGAATTTTTTGTGCAGTACATTACAAAATGTAATGTTGACCATTAACAAGTGGTAATATTGATAAACAATTTAATAGTAAACACGACTCCAGATTATTCAGCCGCGTGGAGGCAACACGCAGCGTATCCATGACGACTAGATTTTAATTTCCGGTAAATAGCGGATTTTTTTTCAAATTTAATTGCTGGTATTATACTGTTATCGTCCCCGTTTTCTGATCTGTGTTTTTTGTTTCTGTTTACTTTAGGTTAGGCTATTGCACCACCTTTCTGGTCAAAAATATCAAGTATTTTGTGGCGTCTAGAGCTGCCGCAAAACCATGGCGGAATTTCCAAACCATGGCGGCTAAGACCAAACCCTAACCTAGGGCGACTGACTTTTTAGCTGTCACAAACCAATAGCGAGCGGCGGTCATTACGACAGCAAATCGAATACCACCAATTTTACCGCCGTAACCACGGCATGTCGGCTGTAATAGCAGGACTTCCCCTGAGGGTGATAAATATTGGGTAAGTTGGAATGCTTTTCTTATGATTACTGTTTTGATGTATTTGGGGTTAGGTTTGGGTTTAAGTAGATATAATTTCGCATGATAGACTAAAATATTATACATGACTTTGTAAACATACCGGTAAGATCTGCGACTCCCCGTACCGGTACTAGAATTGTTGAGATACTTAGGATAGGTTAGGCATTTACATATTTATGCCAGGGAAGAGGAAAGCCGAAGCCCATATATACTGCTCAACCATATGGCGAACCACGGCCTCTCATTCGGTTACCAGTCCATGTCAGATATGGGATTAGTTAGACAATTATTCCGATTGCATGGACTTGATGGTAGAGGTAACTGACCAGCGGTTATGTGGACCACCCTACAGCGGCGAGGAGTCCAGCAATCTTTTCAAACATAATTATTCTCCACAGGATAATTATGCGAGCTTGCGAATTTACTGAAATTCTTTACCGTTTATACTGACCTACTTCTTTTAAGGCAAAATACTGTATTCACATTCCTTCGAAGATGGACATATGCGAGAATTTGTAGCATATAGCAGCTGTGATATCATGGGTGTAAGATCAAGAGTTTCGATTCAGAAATGGCAAGTTCATAAAAATCGTTAATATGACCATCAAGTCTTTAGAGCCTGGACGACTTTTTCATTGTAATGTAAACTCATTTCGTTTGAGGCGTTGATCAATTGCAGAGGCATTAATATGATAAACCCGATGAAAAAAAAAACTTGATCAAAATGGTGATTCTACTTTACAGTCCAGATTTAAATAAGAATCACTGTCACAATTTTAGAAATATTTGATAACGAATACCCATCGCTAAGTAATGGTGCCATCAAACTGTTGTCTGTATTTTCAACCAGTTACCTATGCGTTATTGGAAAGAATCGGCTGTACAATGCTCCAGAGCTACATGTTGCAGAAGCTTCTTTGAGGCCTCGTTTGCAATCCTATATTGGAAACGAAACAGCAGCAGAACTCTCACTAGATTTAATTGTGTTTGTACATGATTCTACTTTACAGTCCAGATTTAAATAAGAATCACTGTCACAATTTTAGAAATATTTGATAACGAATACCCATCGCTAAGTAATGGTGCCATCAAACTGTTGTCTGTATTTTCAACCAGTTACCTATGCGTTATTGGAAAGAATCGGCTGTACAATGCTCCAGAGCTACATGTTGCAGAAGCTTCTTTGAGGCCTCGTTTGCAATCCTATATTGGAAACGAAACAGCAGCAGAACTCTCACTAGATTTAATTGTGTTTGTACATGATTTGGCATGTACATGTTTTTTATGTGAAATGTTTTGTATGTGCATGTTTTATATGTGCCTTTCTTACGCATAGTGGGTGCCCAGCACTGCATTTCATTAAGTAAATATATGGTATTATTTTATGTTTCAAATATTACAATTTTTGGCCAGCACATTATTTCATAATTTTATTTTCATGTGAAATGTTTTTAAGTGTATCTTTTTTTGTCTAGCTTTCCAAAAGCATGTTGAGGGCCCAGCATTGCATTAATTAGCGCAAATATATGGTATTATTTTCTGTTCTGGTCCTTTCATTTTTTTGCCGGTCAGTGAGTACATTTAATTAATTTTACCGGTCCGCCAGGGTAGTAACCACTGATCAACATTACTGACATAGCGGAGTCTAACGTTTGAACTACTAAGCCACTGAGGCCCAATAAAATAAAACTGATCTAAATGAATATTTTATTCTCCACAGGCTCGGGTGTTTTCTTTAAATCTGGGGTAAACAAAGAGTCGTTGCACGCATCGAGAAAGCGGCGTTTGTGGTTGTTTTGGACGATGAATCCCATGTGTTAGACGTTGATGATGTGACAACGTTCTCATGCCATAACAGGTGATTGAATTTTATTTTTATTTTTTTTTTATTTGAGGGGGGAGGTCACGTTCTGAATTTGCTGGAGGTGTCTCAGGATAGATATTATTTTAAGAGTTTTTTAGGGGGGTTGGGGGGGAGGTCACTCTCTTTCTTCGACTAAGGTTCAGACAAGCTATGATGATATTTTTCGACAAAGTATCTCATAACAATTTTTTTCTGTTCTGTTTCGAACCCTAACCTGGTACACACACTATGGGACATTATGTGCGAGTAAATGCCCGGGCTGTGAATTATGCTGGAGTAGAGGCTTAGTTTGGCAAGTTTTCATTGGTATCCGAGTTTGAGCCATAGCCGTATTTCAAATTCAATTTTTTCTGAGTCATGACAGGCCCCAACTCATCCAGGTTGCAATAAATTAAGTATGCAATGCTGAACTCTAGTCTAAAGAGTTCTCTAGAGTTCTTAGTCCTAAAATTGTATCTCCTTAGGCGAGACATGGCAGCTATTCGCCTAAAAAAACTTGCCTGTGGTTATTTATACAGGGCCTTGTTTGTTGTGACTGCTAGACGCTAATAAAGAATAAATTCTATTCAGATGGTTCGACAACAAATCTTTTCAAGTTATTTTCTACAAAAACGGTAGATTTGGAATGAAGGCGGAACATTCCTGATCTGACGCTCCGATCATGGGCCACCTTACGGAAGAAGTCTTGTACGATGAGTTTGCGAACTTTGGATATAATGATGACGGTACCTGCGTCGGAGAATTAACTACGACCCTCCTTCCTCATCAGCGATTAAAATAAAACATTCCAGAACCTGTAAGTGTTGCTTTCAGATTAAAATTATTTTGTGTCCGAGAACACTAATTTAATGCCAGGTGGAATCAATCTCTCAATCTTGGCTATTCGATTGAAAATATTTTGTGTGGGAACACTTATTTAATGCAGGGTGGAATCTCTCATCCTGACCTAACCTACTGCTCAACTAAAAGTATATTGTGTATGGGAACACTAGATTAATAAAGAGTGGAATCACTTGAGCTATTTGATCAGAAATATGTAATGTAATTGGGACTGTTTTAATCCAAGGTGGAATCTCGCTCCCATATTATTCGCTATTTGATTAAGATGATATATGAATAACTATAAAACCTAATATTGATAATCTTTGTAACTTTTGTATGGATGTAATCCACATCTAATTTTTTGAAGAATATCTTGAATTGTGCAGTGGGAAAAGATGGACACTCCAGACAAATCCAGTTCTCCTCCAGCACCACCTAAGCGCAAAAGTCCAACCGATCGACAAATGCGTTCGACTGCGTCAATGACCTCCACAATTAAAGTTGACGACATTACCAATCTGGTGTCTGTACTAGAAAGTACAGTTTTAAAGACACTGCGTCTCGAGATCCCTACCATCATCCAGCAACATCTTGAAAGATCTTTTGATGCAAACCAGGCCAATACTCCAAATTTGGAGAATTCAATAACATCATTGAAAGAGTCAATAAACGAGATAAGATCTGAAGTAACATCCTTTACTGAAATCAAAATCGAAATCCATGAAATCAAAATAAGCCAGGATTTCGTGTCGAAAAAATTCGACGAGTTGAGATCAAGCCAAATCGAACTCAACAAAACTGCAACCAAAACAAAAAAAAGAGTTATGGAACTTGAAAAGCTTGTGGAAGAGCTAGAGGAAGAAGTAGATATACTAACTGAGAGACAACAGGACCAAGAACGTCGTTCCAGGCTGGCCAATCTGGAATTTCACAATATTCCTTATTCGAACGGAGAAAACTGTGAAAATCTAATCTCCAAGATATGTGAGAAAATTAATGTTCCTCTGAAATCCTTTGACATCTCCAATTGCCATAGAATGTCAAAAAACAATAAGAAAAAGCCATCACCAATAATTGCAAATTTTATAAACAGAAAAACAAGAAACCAAATATTGAAGAATCGACGTAGACTGAAGTCCTTAGACATTTCTACAGTTTTCCCGAGCTTTTCTAGATCCACCAAAATCCTTGTCGTAGAAAATCTAACCGACACGAACAAAGATTTATTTTTCAAAGCTAGAGATCTGAAGCAAGCCTGTGGCTATAAGTTTCTGTGGACTAACAATGGCAAAGTGCTCATTAAAAAGAATTCAGACACTCCTACCATCCCAATCATTACGGAGGAGGATCTACTTTTCATAAAGTAGGTTTCTGTATTTTATATATATTTATATGTACATACATTTTTTTCTATATAATTCTATTGATAATTATTCCTTGCAATTCCAATACTTATTTCCCATATAAGTAAATGTCGAATAATTATGATAATTTCTCAGACCATTGTGATAATGGTGCCAACAGTCTTGTACCCCCAAATCAAATTAGTGGTTGCCACTGCAGCAACCTAGAAGTGGCAGATATAAAAAATATTAGAACTGATTCGGATTTAACTATCATACATTTAAATATTCGCTCAATTCGAAAGAATATTGGGCAGCTATCTGCACTTTTGTCTAATTTCAACCCTTCACCCCATATTATAGCTATAAGTGAGACAAAATTAAATAATAATTCTGACTATATAAGCATTGATGGCTATAGATTTATACACGCACCTTCTGCTTCGAAAGCAGGTGGTGTCGGTGCTTTTATTAGAAATGAAATTAAATTTACTGAGACAACTGAATATCATCTAAATTACTCCAATTGTGAAGAATTATGGCTTGAAATAAACCTTCAAAGCATTAACATTAATTTGAGCATTGGTATTATATATAAACATCCAAAAAACGATATTTCTACTTTTACCAGCATATTTGAGAACTGCCTTACAAAATTAACAAAAAATCCTTTTATGATCGTGGGAGATTTTAACATCAATCTACTTGCAGCAAAATATAGTACCCAAATTGCCAATTATACCAATATGTTTGTTGCTCATAACACCTTTTCTATTATTACAAGACCTACCAGGATCACACAAAATTCGGCTACACTAATTGACCATTTATATACAAACTTGACTCATATAAAACTGGATTCTCATGTTATATTATCAGATATTACTGATCATTTCCCAATAATGTGTAGTCTTAATGGCATTAAACCATCAATCAGAAATGATGTTATTTTTAGAAGGGATATGTCTACATTTTCGATTGACGCGTTTCGGTCAGACATGCAAGATTTAATTAATAATCACTTTGCTGCATTTAACTTGAATGCCCATAATTTTAATAGTCATTTTGAAGAATTTACAAATTCTATTGTTCATCTAATTGACCGCCATGCTCCGTTTAAACAATTGTCACGCCGCGAAAAAAAGATTAAACTTAAACCATGGATATCGAAAGGAATACTCAATAGTATTCGTTCAAGACATAAAATGTATAAATCCCACTTCCTAAAGGGCAATAATTCCCAGTGCTCATATTTCAAAAAGTATCGCAATTTACTCACACATACCATTGATATGGCGAAACAAATGTATTACCAGAATATGATTGCTGAAAACAAGGGAAACCCCAAGTCTACATGGCGAATTGTGAATCAAATTGCATCCTCTAAAAACAAGTTAAGGCATAATATTGACGAAATCCATCTGGAAAATGGCAGTATTATTAATGATAGTCATTCGATTGCACAAGAATTCAATCAGTACTTTTCCACTGTCGGTTCTAATCTTTCTAAACAATTCCCCAATGACATGGAGGGGTTTAGAAAGTATCTTGACAAGCGGATAAGCAATTCCATATTTCTGAATCCCACAACAGTGAATGAATTAACAGCTGAAATCATAAGTCTTAAGGATGGTAAGGCAGTTGGGGCTGACAACATCCAGAGCCGCTTTCTCAAGTATGTTGCTGATATCATAGCTCCATGTCTGACAAAGTTTTTCAATAGTTCACTTCAGTTGGGAATATTTCCATCTTCATTGAAAATCGCGAGAGTAGTTCCAATCTTCAAGTCTGGCAATACAAAACAAGTGTCAAATTATAGGCCTATTTCGGTTCTTTCTGCCTTAGACAAGGTATTAGACGAGATACTGAATAAATCACATTTTGGTTTTCAAAGCGAACATTGTACTTCACATGCGATTCTTGACACAATATCTCACATCTATGATAAACTAGAAAACAAAGAATATGTCAGTGCAACCTTCTTAGATCTTAAAAAAGCCTTCGATACTGTTAATCACCAAATTTTAATACATAAACTGTGGCACTACGGTATTAGAGGTGTGGCTAACAAACTTTTTGCCGATTACTTGACCAACAGATCACAATATGTACAAATGGGTTTTTATTGTTCACCCACCTTACCTGTGACCCACGGAGTCCCACAGGGATCGTGCTTGGGACCGACTTTATTTTTAATATTCATCAACGATCTTGCTTGAAGCACCACATTATTTTCGAAATTGTTCGCGGACGATACAAATCTGCTTGATAGTGATAAATTCCCTGAAGTACTCCAATCAAGAGCGAACGCTGAAATTGAAAAAGTTGCAAATTGGATAAAACTCAACAAACTAACTCTAAATGTAGATAAATCGAAAACCATGCTGATATCACCAATTAAAAACAAACCCCCACATGATTTAAAAATTGAGATAGGGGGCTCTGTTCTTGAAACTGTCAATTCCTATAAATATCTAGGCATCTTCATTGACAATAAAATGCAATGGGATATTCAAATATCTAACATTGCAATTAAATTATCCAAATCAGTAGGAATGATGTATAGACTTAGACGATATACATTAGCGTCAACATTACGCATGGTCTACCATTCATTGGTTCAGTCACATTTGCAATACGGTATTGTAGCATGGGGATCAGCTAACAGAACCTCATTGCATCGAGTAGAAATTATGCAAAATAGGGCTATCCGTGCTATTACTAACGCTGGATATAGGTCGAAACTAGACCCCCACTATTATAACATGAAAATAGTCAAAATGGCAGATATATATAAAATTGAGATACTGAAAATCATGCACCAGCATCACAATAATAAATTGCCTGTTGCATTCACTAAATATTTTGTTAAGCAAAGCAGTATCCACTCATATGCAACTCGATCTTCTGCCAATAGCTCATATTATGTTTCTCGTTACTCTTCAAGTCATACACAAAACAGTATCAAATGCATCGGTGTGAAACTATGAAACACACTGCCTAATTCAATTCGTTCCAAAAATTATAACTTATTTAAACAAATGTTGAAAAATCTTCACCTTGATGCTTATATATGTCAGTAATTTCCCAGTTGTTATACCATTTAGGCTTGTTGTCAGGTTTACCCCTTTCTTCGAAATCATAAAATATATATGTCAGTATGTTGTCTTCATGTGCTCTATGTAATAATTCAACAAAGCTGCAATGCCACTAGCATTGCCAATACTGCAGTATCAATTCTCATATCTATTGATGCATAATCTTAAATTTTATGAACCTCTGAAAGCACTAAATCAATATTAATGATAACACTTTACACTTACAGACTTGGGCATGTGGCTCTGCCATTACATGAATGCATAAGTCTGTACAGCTGTAAGTACGTTAATCTAAAGGCATATTATTGAATATTTTTAATATTATTATCTTATCATACATGCCTTTTCATCTCACATTATGTAGTGTTGCTTACTTCCTCTGTCGATATAATCATTTCACTTGTCAAATTTAAATATTATTGATGTCTCTTAAACTCATATAACGAATTCTCCCCTTTTCTGGTTGCTAACTAGTAACTACGCTATACGGCGTCATGTTAGTCATGAAATTTCTTTGTTGTTTTTACGCTCACCCGAGCATAACATTATAAAGCAAAACTGACTTAATCAGTCACACTTTCCCGATTGACTTGCATCATATTTATTTTTTATTTCCTGAATTAAATTCGCTCAGCAAGTCATGATGATATCATCCAATTCATATATTTTTTTTTTTTTACATTCATTTAACGTCATCTGTTCATCAATAAATCAACACGGTGTCGTTGACACGATGACTTTTGCAGTCTTTCGCGGCTCCGCGTCAATTGCGAAATATTGTATGCATGTATACTCCAGTCCTCAATTGATTTTTGTATTATCATTATAATTGTTTAATTGCGTACAATATTTCATGCACGACGAAATAAAACTTCTGAGTTCTGAGTTCTATTAACTATTTGATTAAAAATGTTGTGTTCTACTTTTGGGAGCCATGATTTCATAATCTCATTTTTTGCTATTCAGTGGTTCCCAACCTTTTACGACTTGTGGTCTCCTTCCAGAAGTTTTCAGCACTCACGAGCGCCCCTGTTTATCATCCCAGTGGTATTTATAGTGATATTTTGATTGGTTGATTCCAAATACCATTATGATCAAACAATTCATGCTCAACAAAGTGAAAACACCCTGTGGAATAACCTTATCGAGCAATGAAACTAGTGAGAACATTTTTTCCATGTAATTATTTTTGCACATAGCATTGTGGCCCCAAGAAACTGCTCTGTGGCCCCAGTTAGGAACTGCTGTGCTATATATTAGCATTTTTTGCTTGGTAGCGCTGATTTTATACGGAGTTGAATTAGTATCCCAACAATTAATTTTCCTTTATACAGTGCATCGACGTCATTTAATCAAGTCTAAAGATTGCAAAGATTTTGTCTAATGACGTTGACCTTCATGTGTTCCCATTTCGTAAATTCGGAAAAGGATTGATCAAAACTTTCCGAGTGTCTCCTGATGCTTTTATCCAATTGTCTCTTCAACTTGCACATTCCAGGGTAAGAGAAATTTTTTCAAATTGAAAATATATTCTAAATTAGGGGTGTGCAACATTTTTTGTCGGCGGGCCATATAACCAACTAGAGCTCGATTGATATCACTTTTTGCCGCCGATACAGATATTATTATTTCGGCCAACTAGTGGCCGATAACCGATACCGATATTAATATAAATCATATTGTGAGCCACTAAATGGGCTTTTATGATGTACCTCATGAGTCTGTATTTTCATTTTGATATTTATTATCTTTGCAGTGAGACCTTTGCGACGGTCCGTATCACGAACTTCAGACATCTAGCTGGGCCGCATAAAAAATTCAGTTTTTTCATCACACAACAAATTAAAAATTCTCTCATTATAAATATTATTTATTCAACAATTGAAATTTCGAGTTCTTGCATAGTTGTTAACATCTGCTCTGAAGGCTTTTGTATAGCCTTACAGTAATAAAGGCAGCGGACAAAACGGCGAAAGACCACCATGTGTTTTGCAATGTAACTGAAACATTTTTTTGGTTCATACATAGCAATTTTGCGTAACTTAACATATGTTAGACCCTCAAATTTCTAGTCTAGTTATAACAGGGGTGGCCATGGTTTTTAGACCAGGGGCCAAATATTTTGCCAATCTAGACTGGCGGTCCATGTTAGTGAGACGTAAAAAGTTACATTTTATGAACAATATTCAGTGTTACAAAAGCAAAAGTAGAGAACAATAAGCCTCGTGCTAAAACTAAATTTAATCGCATACTCAACAAATTCCTAGAGCTATTTTTTAGCTAAAACATCCAAATATAGTTTTAGTTTGGCTGTGGCAGCATTAGGCGGGCCAGATTGAATTACCCAATGGGCCGGATTTGGCCCGCAGGCAGTAGTTTTCCCATGTCAGCTCGAAGACTCTTGAAAACCCACATTTTTCGGCCAGGCGGAGCTGCTAGCTGTTACGGCCTTATCAATTAGAAATTTCTAGTCTAGTTATAATATATTTCATAACTTGACCATAAAAAAGATCAGACCGCTTTCTCATATTTCTTCCCTTTTGAAATAAAAGAAAAATCATCTTTATTACAGGTCAAAGGTCATTTCAGTTTGACCTCCGAAGCCTCGATGACGAGATTGTTCTGAGAAGGGACGATCGAGACTGTTCGTTCATGCACGACTGAATCCTGCGCTTTCGTTCGGGCCATGGAAGATCCAGAACAAACTGTAAGTTCATTATTTTACTAACCAAGTTTTGCTCATTAGAGTGTGACTGGTCAGAGTGATGTCGTTATAATAAACAGGACCTGATGCTGTTATTTTTTGGCTCAATTGAGATGAAATAGTACGAAATAAAACTATGGTTACCGAACGTTTGAACCCATGCGTATATCTGCGGGTTCAATGTATATGCGGGTGCTAAAACCCATGGGTTAGTATGGGTTCAATTATTCGAAAAACAAAAAAAATTGTCATAGGTGCAATAGTATGCAGGTGCAATTGTTGTGGGTTCAAATGTAATGGAACCAAAATTATATGTGTTTTCTAACTGGTAACAAAACTTTGTTTTCTCGCTCGATTCGACAATGTGCTTTTCACATCTCTTTTGAATTGCTTAAGAATTGCTCTTCTGAAGAAAGCTACAGAACGCCATGTATCTGGATATAGGGAGGCAATGACTGGTAGGTTATTGCGGTAGTTAGAAACATTTTCTTATCTTCAATTGGAACTCAGTACCTACAACCTGCTGGCTACATGAGGCAGGTCGACCCCCCCCCCCCCCCCTTTAATAAAAATAAGCCCCACCGTTAAGAACCACTAACATATGCTTGAAACAATCCAAGTCAATGTGAAAATGGGGGGAATTCCACACAAGGCCCAAATTCTAAATCGATCTTTTTTTCCTCCCATAGGTCAAGGAATTGATCATCATTTATTTTGTCTCTACATCGTGTCAAAATATCTCAAGATCGAGTCTCCCTTTTTGCAGAAGGTCAGACTATCATTTTCTTTTATGTTTTTTTTTCGTTTTTTTTTTTAATTTTTTTTTTCGATTTATAACTTTCTTATTGTTTATATATTTCTACTCATTTTTTAATGCGCTAACCTAATGTGATGTTTTGTGTCTTCGCTCTGGACAAACCTAATAAGTTGTCACTGATGATTTGTAAGGGGCTGCATATTTTTTGAAGGTCTGGGTTTAATTAATTGGGCAGGCAATACTGGGAACTGGGAAGGTTCTAATTCGTTGTCGGCATTGATTTTCTCTACCCCCCGTCTAATTTTGAAGTGTGGTACCACAATTTAATACCCAACTTAGGTGTTCAAATATCTAGAATATGGCATATTTATCAGTGCAGATGATCTGTCAAATACATAACACATTTTTATAAGTTACGAATAGTTTAATCGCTAATAGGAAAATATTTACCAACCTTCTAAATCCCCCCACCTCTAAAATGAAATGCTGAGGTACATACTGGTCGTAGGTTCCCATATCTCCACTATGTGAGAACCTCCTGTTCTAGAAGTTACAGAATCTTTCCAGTTTAGCCGATTCAATTTATTACACCCTGGGTAAGGTGGGGCGACATGATGTTTGAACTCAAACTATCGTCTAGGTCCAAAGCATTAAACATTAGAATTAAAGTAAAAGCACAAATAAACTTGGATTCCCAGATCTATTGGTCTTCATTGCTTTTCAAAACACTTGACCCGCTTTCATCATGCCTACCCAAATTTATTGCACCCCTAGGTGAGCTGGTGAGCAGAGTTTTTTATTCAGCCAACATAGTCTCACACCATAAACATTAGCATAAAAGTAAAAACTAGAAGCATAAGTTGTTTTTTCATCATTTCTCACAACGATCATTTTTCTTTTCGGTGTTTCTTGTCGTGCTGGTGCAAGCTATCGCTGAAACGTAATTTTCTTTCCCGCTGTTGCAACTTAGTGTATGTTTAATTCGAAATTCACGAAATTTTATCCCTAAAAATTTGTCAAAATGGCTGTTATGGAATTAATTTCATCTGGTCACATTGACATTTCAAACCCCGCATTATTTACTCATTCGACCATGACTGCCATTTAGATTCTCAATCATATGACTCTCTAGTCATTATCGTTAATCAAATATTTTTCTCATTTTATCCCTGCATTTTCGGTCATCATTCATCCAACCATGACTGCCATTCATTTTTCAATCATGCGGCGTTCTATTGCATATTCATCAATTTTTTGTTCAATTTATCCCCGCATTTTTGTTCATCAGACCGTGATGCTCCAGCCAACATTCCTAATCTCAAATTATTTGTTCATTTTGGCCTTGCATTTTCATTCCTCCGACCATAACTATGTTTTAAGTGTTTCACAAATGTTTGTTCATTAGATAAAAAATCATAAAGAATGTTATTATCATTCTAACCCTGCATTTTTAATCATTCAACTGTGACTGTCTTTATTTGTGCCCTTCATTTTTAGTTATTAACGCATGGCTGTCTATTGTCATCAAATTCTTCATTATGTCAAAGAAAAACAATTTTCAAAAAAGTTTTTTTTAAATCGCGAATTACAATCATGAAAATAATTATTTATTTGTTCGCCACAATGTACGATATTTTCAAAACCATTATATATTTTGAAATTTTTTTTGTATCTAACTAAACTAAAAAAAAATTGTCTTGATTTGTATATCCAGCAAACATTCGTCCCCTCTGTGACAGCAGCAACTTGTGAATACGCAAATAGTTCCGATCAATTTTAGTTCATTTTGATACTGCATTTTTACTTATTATACCGTGCCCCCTTAGTTGAACCCTCAGTAACATATCACCCTGTGACTCTACAAATCCATGCGATCCCCTGAATGAATAGATAGATCCACATCAATTTTGGTTCATTTCAACCCTGTATTTTTATTTATTAGACCGCGACTCTTTAGTTGAACACTCTGTGACAAAGCAGTTACAAATCCTTGCGACCCTCGAATGTGCACATAGTATCACGTCAATTTTGCTTCATTTAAACCCTTTTTTTTACTTATTGGACCAAAACTTTTTTTTTAGTTGAATCTGATAATGAAAAATTAACAGTCTTTTTTAATTTTATTTTCATTTCAATCCTGCATTTTAACTCATCTAACCGTGACCCACATGGCAAGTCATTGGACCTTTCAAATACACCCATAGGTTGTGACTCATCAGCCTTTCAAAAAACATAGTTCAAAAATTGAAGGAGGAAGGGGGAATCCCATTTTTTGGATGTAGTCATTACACGCATATCACATTTTTTTCATATTAAAAAAAAAACTTTTTCATCTTTGAGTTTCTCTACTCTAAAAAATAACTATTATCATGTTGTGTGTCTTTCTTTTCACTGTTTTCATTAATCTTCAATCAGTTTCCATGTTTTCTGTCGCAATAACTCCCGACTTAAGTAAGTCTGTCTTGCTGCAATTTAACCAAATTGGCTTATGTCACATCTTAAGGTTTTGTGAAACATTGAGTCGGTCTTATTTTGAAGGGAAGGCTTATATTAAATTCATTTTTAAAATTCAGGCTAGGTCTTATTTTCAGTTAAACAACGTTAGTATGGTTCTAACAACCAAAACTAAAATGCACATAAGGGACGACTTGCAATCAAAACCAAAATAGGTGCAGGTACGCCATATTAAGATGGTCCATGATGATGGTAGATGAAAAATTCAATTTCTGAAAAAAGTGACATAAACTGCTTTGGTTTTTCCGCGGTGAATTCTGTAAATTTTGCCCTACTTTCAAATATGTTTGATATTGATTAATATTCAAGTCTTTTTTGGCTTTTTTCTAAAATTACGCTCAAACTGACTTAACAAATAATAACCAACTCAAGTGAAACAGTTTAACACATTTTTTTTTTAGTTCTAGATACCGTCATTATCACAGTTTAAGCCTGTATATATTCTTACTTATACCGGTATCTTAATTATATGTACCGGTACTGGTTTCGACCCCAAGCGAGCGCTCCACTTTCCCGACCCGCAAATATCCTTCTGCTTCTAATTTGGCCCCGGTCAATCAACTTCGGGAACAACTGGCCTAAACCTGATACCCTATCATTCATACATTCTTAAAAATTTCTTCAAATATTCTTTGGGTTGTGCTTCTAACCATTTGTATTAACGCTAACACTTCTATCTAATTCACTGTTTCTATGAAGTTGCTTTTTAGTTTTGATGTTGTATTGTGATGTAACTATGGTTGTGTTGTAACATCACTATAGTGCAACGATTTTCATTTTTAGGATATTTTGATGTCATAATATGGTATTAGTATTCATCTTATGATGTAAGAATCACTCTTAACCACATCACTTTGTTTTATTGTGACATTATATATTGATTCATGACATCATAATTTGAAATCAGATGCTTGGTGAGGCGTGGAAATTCTTTTCATAACTTACCCATGTCTGTTTAAATGATTTACTTTGTTTCATTGTGACATCATATATTGACTTATGACATCATAATTTGGGGGTAGGTGCTCGGTGAAGCGTGGGAATTGTCAACATCCCAGACTGCAATTAACCAAACTGGTCGTATCGACCATTATAAAGATTTTCACACTGACTTGACACCACAAGGGGGAGGATTTGGTCCGGTGAGTCCAATATGACATTATCAAGCGTGTCATAATACACTGGCTGTGATTGGCTGTTTGTCTAATCATCACTCATGCATGTTATTACTAACACCCTTGTTTGCGTAATTCTATCTCCTAATTTTTAGTTTTTAATTCTACAGAACATGCGATTGCAACAATCATTGCCCTCAACGCATTTTTTAAACCTAATTTGCGATTTTTTTACAATTTTTTCTGTTTCAGTCAGGGGGAGTTAACGATCAATGGAGGGGGGGGGGGGTATTTGTGTGAAAACTTTTTGCGAGGGCATTCGACTTCTATATCTTTCCCTAAAAATCTTATGTGTTTGTTAAATCCTCGTATTGCTTATGCAAAAAGTTTTCACATAGAACACATGGTACTCTCGAAGGATGTGAACCAAGATGGAGGACACCGGAATGTAGTATGTGTACCAGGTCAGGATTAAGCCATAATCTCAGATACGAATACTAAGGGAGTCACTTAGCTAGTCCCCGAACTCGAAATAGAACTAAAATGAGGAAAATTGGAATAAAATTATGGCCTAACCTTAACCTGGTATACATACTACGTTCCGGTGTCCACCATCTTGGTTCACATACTTCGGGAGTACTGAACACATTACAGGTTGGTCCAAAAGTGGGCCTACTGTTATTAATACCTGTGTTAACGGCCTACTATTTGGCAAATTTGTATAAATAACATATATAAAACAGTTGTATTCTACCTGGTTTACAAGGGATTATGCAATGCTATATTTTAGATGTTTGTTTTAATTTTAACAATCTTGTATATTTGTAGAAATGGTTTCTAATGGATTAGTACGTGCTCGTCATTGCACTTTTGATTACCATGTGTGAGTACGAGGTTTGAATCCCGTAGGGGTATAATTTTGCAAATTGCATATAGAGCCAGACTTGTGTAAGCCTATTCTGCTAGAAACCATTTTTACAACAATAATATTTTCATTGCTCTAATCATTTTCACCTTTTCTCTCTTTATTGAACTTTCTTCCTACTTCCTGATCTTATGACCCTTGAACCTGATATGACCCCTTATCATTCCAACATATAACGAAACATTAGGTGCTTGAAATAACGTATTTTATGGTTTGGGTAGTTTTGTCTAACAATGTATGACCTTCGACTATAAATTTGACCTCTATAAAATGACTTTCAACCCCAATTCTGACCTCTACTGTGTGAAATGACCTTCAACCTGAAAGTTGACCTCTATAAAATGACATTTAACCCCAAATTATAAAATCACCTTGAACCAAAAAATTAACCTCTAATTTACAAAATGACATTCAACCCCAAATTTGACCCCTAATTCGCGAAATGACCTTCACTCCTAAATTTGACCTCTACCTTACAAAATGACCTTCAACTTAAAATTTGACCTTTACAAAATAACCTTTGACCCTAAAGTTCCTTAAATCTGACCTTTCCACTCTTCTGCTACGACCCTGCTTCACTCCAACAGGTTCTTCGTGAGCCGTGGCGTCTTTCGACGTCTCAGACCCCCCACCAACAGGGAATGAAGATAAATCTTGTCGAACACCCCTCGTTCTTGTCTGGGGGAGGAGGATTCGGTCCGGTAAGAATGCAATAGCGACATCTAATGGACGTATGGGTCTCACACGCTTGCAGGCTATGTTGTGCTGTTTCTTGCATTGAGTCTTAAAACTGTAACAGCAGAAACTCCATAACACACATCAGTGGCTTCTTGCAATTACTGTACCCCTAAGAATTTTGCTGCAGGCTTTTACCACCAGTGACTAATGAAGCATGACTAGACAGAATGTTCTTATCTTTATATGCATGGACTATTTCTTCAATTATAAGTCATCTTTCCTAGACGAGGAAGCGCACAAAACACAAACTTTTTAAAAAATATAGGATGTCCTTAAAGTCCTGAAATTATTTACAATTGCAGGGAGTTTATCGATACCATATATTGTTTTGGCCTTCACAGATGTATGAAATGGAGTAAAAATACCTAAACAATTACTGATTAAAAACAACAAACCTGGTTAAGATATACTGAGAATTGACTTCATAACAAAATTGAAATTGTAAATGGATTTTATGCACACCTTGTATTTATAATTATAGTCAAGTTTATAATGTCTCGGGCAGCTGTGTCTTCCTCTCTTCAATACCTCAATTACCAAAATTGTTTCAGTTAATTGTGTGTGTGGTGTGTGTTAACAAGTCAAAATTTGAATAACAAATCCTTGATTTGATTGGTTGATACAATACGTGATTATATACAGGGTGACCAATGGGCTGATTAAATAAATCAAATAAAACTAAAACAGTGGTTCTCAAGCGATGGGATGCGCCCCACAAGGAAGGCATAGACAATTATTTGAGGGGGCTTGAAGCTAATTGAAAATAATCTACGTGGATGGAACATAAATAATGAAATTAATGTATATATCCAAAAATAAGTCATGCAACATCCAATCAATTTTTTTTAATCAGCTTCACGCTATCATCGTTAATGATTTCGGCTGTGGTGATACTTGAGAACAGTGGTTCTCAATGGTGGGGCGTGTAGACAGTGTGACAGTAGTGTTTGTTTGATTTGTTCTTGACTGCCTTATGTTGGTATTTACATTCACTAGTCTGGTGCAAACTTGACAAATTCTAGAAAGGATTTAAAAAGTTTGAAAACCACTGCTTTAGTTATAGTTCTTGAATCCAATTTCCGACTCCACGATTCTGTATTCTAGTCTTGTTTTTCACTTTATAGTTGCTCAGCATGGCTTCAAAATTGTGTGTTTCAAATTGTGATATTGTTAGTTTGCTTCTAGAATTCAACCGCACCGCTCTTTTAGAAGTCGTATTTAGTACTCAATATCTGTGAAATTTCAATTAAAGTTTTTAAACTCATTCTCCATGTGAGCTTGCTCAATGTAGCAGAGACTTGTCTCTGAGCAAGTCTAGCTGCTAGCACTGAAATGCCAAAGCTTTTGAACAGTACAGAATTATGATGTGTGCTCACTCAGAAGTAAAGAAGACTCATGTCCGAATAATAGATAAGAAATATTTCGATTCTAACTCCTTATCATACTTGAGCATGCATGGTATGTGTTTGTTTGCATGGAGTGTGGAATCTTCTATGGCCAAGCTTATTAGCAATATAATATGATGCAACTTTATATTTTATTATTTTATCCCCCCAGTTGGCTGTGCAGTCGGAATTAATTTATACCCAATGCCAATCTCTGAGCCTTCTAGAAAACGACCACCGATTTCAGATGAACAAAAATGTTTCTTCTTACTCTTGGTTAAAGGAAATCTACTAAACTACAATAAATTTTGTCTACGAAATCTTCTGTGAATCTTAATTCCTCCTTTAATAAACAGTGAAAATAGATCTAAACTTCCCCTCTGAGCAAGGCTGTAGAGAAAAAGTCACTGATTGTAAAGAGCTGTAAAATTTTTTAGAAGGTTGGATTCATTTGAGAATTCCTGAAGAATTTATTCGAGAATTCATTTTGTCATTGTTCACTCACTTTATGTGAGCCTCGCTTAGAATATTGTTACTTATGCTCTCAACAAACATACTCAAAGCCGAAATTATTAAAATTTGGTTTTCTCATACAGTTCAAAGTTATATTTCAAATGAAACAGACTTTGGGGTCACAATTGGGTCAAAATTTCCCGACTTCACAGCCTATGCACTGTGACCTGTTACTAAAAGTTTCTCCACGTTTTGTCAGGTCGCTGACGATGGCTACGGTGTCTCCTACATTATCTGCCACGAAAACACCATAATGTTTCACATCTCAAGCAAAGTCTCCTCTCACGAGACCGTGAGTATTCTGTTTATAATAGTTTTTAGGTGACCTGCATTTGCAACTGCTGCTTCGTAAGTAACAAGTATTTTATGAAGGGCACCAACCTGTGAGACAGGGCTGTGCTGTGCCACCTGCGCCCAGCGGGCCAAAATCAGCCCACAAAGAAAAATATTGTGGGCTGCGGAGAAGTTCCAATTTTGAATATTGTGCGGCCCCCGTAACGAATTTTTGATTTGGTATGTGCGAGTGATTCCAATCACTATGCGTTGTAAAGCCTGTATTTGAGTCCAATTTATTATATATGTCTTTGACATTACAATGCCCTAACAGTTAGCTTGTGCGAAGCATACAACGCATGTCATAAGATCAACAACTAAATTTTTCATGACTGCTACTAGAAAACCTATGTTCAATAAAGGTGCGTTAACCACCTGATCATTAATTTATTATCAACTTGGCTCTCCAGAAGTGTGTGTACCAATATGGTGGCAACGAATTTTGTTCGCCTACTTTACATCAAGTTGTGTGATGAGACTGAAACCTTTGGGAAGGGGGTGTATTTACTTGGCTAACACAGACGGTACCCAAACTCGTAATAGAACTGAAATAAGGAAAATCGGAATAATATTATGGCCTAACCTTAACCTAGTACACACACTACAGGAGTACCTCTTTTTTTATCTAGTATTGACTACACTAATTTGAATTTATTCACATTCTTATGTTATCTCCTTATTTATTTATCTTATCAGAACTCATCTCGATTTGCTGATAACATCGAACAAGCAATGATGGACGTGAAGGACCTCTGCGAATATGCAAAGAAAAAATAATTTAAGAAAAAAACAAAAAAAATTAGGAATTATTATTAGGTTTTATTGCATTGTGTTTTTATAAAATAAGGGGGGAGCACTGGGGGTAAAAAAGTAGGGGATTTTATTTTGATTTTACTTATACTTTTGTGTGAAAAAGCGTGTTTTATTTTTTCTGTAATATTTACTGATTGTGTTTTTATCTTAGTGTAAAACAGATTTGGAAACCCAAAAAAAAAAAATTTCTGAGGGATGGGGGAATTTTTCAGATAATTTTGAATTTGAGTAAAATTTTATATAAATCACGATTCAGCATACTTGCATAAATATTTTGTCAATTTTGAACAAACCGGCAGTGGCTAGGTATCACTGTAGGCTCTGAAGTGACTCTGAACTTTTTTTCTGATCCCTTACCCTGCCCCCTCTCCCCCCCCCCTTCAATTTTCGTCGTCTCACTCAGATGAGAGCTGTATACAGCATATATATTAAGACATGTTTTTCTATAACAAGAATTTGGGTGCATTTGCCTGTGGTGAGGTCACAACACAGGACCCAGAGAGATTATGACATTTTTTCTCACATCCCCTGTCCCCCCACCATTTCAATGTCCCAGCCAGGAAGAAAAACCGCTCTAGTGGGTGCTATTTGTTGGGGTCCCGTTTTTTCTCCCCCTCCCCTCTTATTCCAAGATAAACTCCTATGTTGTGCTCCCCGCTTTTTCATTTTCTGTATATTCAACATATCAACCACTTTGTATTTGCTTTTCAGGAACACCACATAGTCACAAATATTTTTGATAATAACCCCCATCTCCCCCCCTCCCTCCCCCCCCCCCCCAAAAAAAAATTGTGTTATATTCATATTTACATTAACAAGAATACAGCATAGATGGAAAATAGAATAAAAAAATTTCTTAGTTCTTTCCAACTTATCTTCCTCAAATATTTTCACTTTATTGAGGATATTATTTCTCAAAACAATACGTTATTACGATACCATATATTGTTCTAGCCCTCACAGACAGATTAAATAAAGGTAAAAATACTTTAACAATTGCTGATTGAAAAACAACAAACCTGGTTAAGATAATATTGATAACTGATTTCATAACAAAATTGAAATTGTAAACGGACTTTATGGACACCCTGTATTTATGAAGCATTTTAGATTTGACAATATATGATTATATTCTGGGTTATGGCACATCCTATAGGGTTAGAAATAGCTCGTGTATGGGGTTTGTCGTATAATTATTATAAAAGACACCGACACAATTCCTTATGACAATCTACTCATTTAAATGTGGTGTTCCCTTCACTTTTATTATATTTATGATCTTCTTTGATAGACTGTTAGGAATTGAATCTTTTTTGATGTTTTAATTATGATTCCAGGATTGATTCCAGCAGGGGGTTTTGAGGGTTGCTCCTTCCTTTTTTAAATGTAAAAAAGGCATATTACTGATTTAAACATAGCAAATTTTCATAGAATAAAATGCTTTTTGAACTCTTTAAAACCCATCTGCTTCGGCATCCTTTTGAAATGTAAGAAAGGCAATTTTTTGTAGCATAAAATATTTATGGGACTCTTGAAGACCTATACGACCACCGGACAGACCTAGCAATTCTGGTCCAACTTGGCAATA